AACAAAGAGAAGAGTAATCTGCTGCTTTTTTTTTCCTTTTACCCTAGTCACTGGGAAGTGCCGTAAATAACATTCTAGGAAAAAGTTTATACATACTGGTGTTTCAAGTTTTTTTTCTTGCCCTGGGTTCATGTTAGTCAGGTACGTATATAGTTGGATCATTAACCTTGAAGGCTTTTTTTGAGTCTTAAGTCCTAGTCTTACTCTGAGACGAGTAGATGTGCTTGGCAGACGGGCAATTACATTGCATGAAAGAGATAGGAATAGAAACAAGAATGCTTTTTGCTTTAGTGTATTAAAAAATAAATAAATAAATAAAAACAACCATAAACAAATAGGTTATCTTTCTCAGTTCGAGATACTTTACATAACTATCAGGATTTTGATACTTCCCCAACCATCCCCCAGTTCATACCTATCTTCCTAAACAATTTAACCCATCCCATCAATGAACAAAACACACACACACACAGACACACACATATTTATATATAATCACAAAGCAGGAAACCCAACAAAACACTCCCCCTTCGCTCTCCACCGTCCCTCCCCACCACTACCCTTCCTACTACCACTACCAATACTACTACACGTTCCCATTCCCTTAGATCTGTCTTTAGCTGAACCAACCCACTCAAACCCCACCCCCTCCTCTTCAAGCATCATTCTCTTCCTCTCCAGATTTGCATGTCCGCTCGCCGGCCCAGCGCCCATGTACCCGCCCAGCCCGCCGTCGGCACTGAGTACCCGGTGACAGGGCACGTCGGGGGCGAAAGGGTTCGTCCGCATGGCGGTGCCGATGGCGCGTGCACTGGAGTTGAGATGCTTTGCGAGAGCGGCGTAGGTGGTCCAGCGGCCGGCGGGGATGGAGAGGAGGGTTAGGTATACCCGCCGGCGGTGGGGGGTTAGGGTTGGGTGGGATTTTATGCGGTGGATTTGTTTGAGGATTTTGGGGGTTGGGGTTGGGGTTGAGGTGGGGGAGTTGTTTTTGTGTGGAGATGGAGATGGAGATGGAGATGGAGATGGAGATGTGGTTGTGGTTGTGGCTGTGGTTTGTTGTGGTTCTGGTTCTTGGGGTTTGGTGGCGGTCATGGCTGTTCTTTTTGGATTCTTTTTATTTGTTTTGTTGTCTTTAGGGAGTGTTGGAGGGCTGGGCTGGTTAGGTGGTTTGTATTTGCATGTTTTACTGGAGTTACGTACCTAAGTGGTGATATTGGTTTGGTTAATAAATTATATAGATTGGAGGAAGTGAGGTGGTGGGTAGAAAGTATTGTGGTAGGTTTTATATGCTTCTTATGATGGATGTTCCGTTGATGATGTTGTGGAATTGACCAATCAGGTTCTGCGTTGGGATCGACCCTCTGGCACTTCACACGATCTACAACATAAATACTACCAACTACCAGGTAGTAGTAGATTAACCCCCTTAAAGATACGACTTACAGCCTGTGATATTAGAGAAGAGAATAGAATGTCATTGACGACCAGTCTTTGCAATATGGCGTCGGGTATATCGCACAAGTGGGTATCCCTGATCTACATGTATATTATAGCGTGTTCAACCGTCACCTCGTTGAGTCGTTCCTCATCCATGTGCAAAAAGTCCTCCCCACTACGCACTCAAAGCATGCTCCTCATGTGCATCTGTCGGCTTCCCCATCTCCGGATCCACCGCGCTGTTCTTGCGGTTGGCTGTTTCAATGTACCCTGGATTTTCCGCCTTGAGACGGGCGAAAGTGCGCTCGGCATCCCACACCCAGGGTGTATCGGCAGCAAACAGCAAGTCCATGTCCTCCAGTGTCCGCTGGTTACTCTCCGGATAAAGAGCCCATACCATCGGGATGGTGATGACATTGCTGGCCGCAAATACATACAGCGTCTTTTCGCCGATGGCCTCGAACATCACTGGGCACAACAGAGTCTAGCCAATCAGTCAGTGAGCCTCTCAAATAGTCTGTAGGGCATTTCTTACCAGCCAGCCGTTTCCAATACTCCATCCCACAACACCCCAGGCGTTTCCTTTTGCGCGGACCGCCAACGGATATATCTCAGCAGGATAGATCCATGGTACTAATCCAGTTAGCAGAGCCAACAGAAGTAGTGGGAGCATCCTACGTACCTGTCAACCACGTAGCTCCAAAGACAGAAGTGAAAATGAAGACCATCGACGCTGCGGCGGCGCCAAAGGAGTTGGCCCGAGAGAGATTTCCATCCGCTCGGGCATCAATGGCAAGCCGGGAGAAGCCTCCGGCTAGGAACATGGCGATACCCTGCGCGGTGGATCCCCAGTACAAAGTCCACCTACGACCAATCCGGTCAAGTGTGAAGACACAGACAAGGGTAGCAAACTAATCCTGTCAGTCATGTCATTACCGGGGGGGGGCTCTGGCCATCCTACCATATAGAAGACATTATTCAAACCACTGATCCACTGGCTCTTCATCGAGTCGAATCCAGCAATGCTAAAGATAGTTGGAGCATCTACACTCGTCAGTGATGTACTTGTGGGAGCTTCGAGTAGACATACAAACGGTAACACCAGCAATGCCGACCCATTCCTGCATGATCTGCAGCCAGACTACCAGTTGGACACGTCGCCCAAGATGTAGCTTGCCTGTTTTGTAGCCGAAGAGCATCGCCAAATAAGAAGTGCTATGGTTCATGCTTTTCTCCATCTCTGCCACGTTTTGGATGTCCCGGAACTCCGCCTCAGCGCGAACTGCGTCCTCATCGCTGCTTCCACGGAGCCGCCCAAGAATGTAGCGGGCTTCTTGCTCGCGACCGACTTTAACCAACCATCGTGGGGACTCTGGGAAAAACCAAACAACGACAAACAGGAGGAGTAAAAAGATGATTTGGAACGCGATCGGGAATCGCCAGCGGAATGGAGACTTCCCCCCATCGATGAAGGACAGTCCACTAGAGTCTATTAGACAAGTCTAGATGTTTGGAAGGTTAAAACCTACAATTCCAGCCAATAAGCTAGGACGACACCGAAGATGTTCAGAGTAAATTCAATTGCAATAAATTGTCCTCGAGATGTGTGCTCGGCAGTCTCTGTCGCCCAGACCGGAACAATTGCGTTCAGAATACCAGTGCCAATGCCATTGATAAAACGCGCTGAGTAGTTGTTAGCCTATAGGGTCTGGGAGGTGCTCACCCGTAGTAGACTTACAGCAAATCATCCAGTTGTGGTTTTGCGCGGAACACTGCAATGCAGCACCAAGAATAGCCCAGAGAGCGCCTGCCGCAATGGTCTTGATCCGGCCAATACGATCTCCGGTCCAGCCACCAAGGAGTGCGCCGAACAATGTCCCCAGATAATAGACTGACACGATTCCACCTTGCAGCAGACTGTCCGTCACAACTGGGGTGAGATAGCCGTCCTTCATCTCGGTGTACCCGAATCCCATGAGGTCGATGTAGTCTTTCGAGTTGTTGACTCCTGCCATCATGCCCTGGTCGTAGCCGAAGAAAAGAATCGACAACGCCGCAACACTGTTGATGCCGATGAGAAGCTTGCGCTTCTCCAATTTGTGGACAACATTCCACTTGGGTATCTGATCACACATGGCGAGAAGCCAATGTCTTGAAAATTAACAGCGAAGAATGACTCAATAACCCAACAAAGGGGGCGCCTCGGGACCCTCCACTTCTTGCTCAAATAGCTTTATAGAAAGGTTAAGATACGAATAGTACCGCCAGAGACCTCCCACAGACACCTGTGGGGTGATACGAGGTCTATATATGGGCTTGCCGAAAAACTGCAATCGGCCGATGGCTGACGGCTATTCTGTTCTGCATAGTGATCGACCGGGCCATGGATGATACTCGAGGCCATTTTGAATCGAATTAGGTTACATTCCGTGTGGGAGAAACCTAGAAGACTGGGTTGGAGACATAGCACATGCAAGGTAGTTAATTTCTCCACCGAGGAGTACGATATTACTCGCCAAACGGCCCCGCAAGAGAAAAAAAATCTGGAGATAGCGAAAGCCGGATTTGGCTCCAGACCGGGAAGATACGAGTCAAAATCGGTAATCCGGGCGGCGGGAAAGACGATGCCATTGATATTTGGACCGGCTTTCTTAACCGGCAAGGGAACCCGGGAAAACTTCACCACACTTCATCTTCATAGAAAACCGACTTTTGCATCGCAGAAAGATTAAACCTGACAGCGCTAGCCGAGGACACGTTCGACTCGTTTAAACCTATAGTCGCAAAAGAGTGTTTCATTGCGTCAATTGGTGAAGATCGCCTTTTCGAAAAACCCGGTCCACGGACGGTGTCATAACTTGAGCACCAATCCGGGACGACGGAAGGATCCAGTATGGGCGTGAAGATTGACGAATACAGGCGTTGGCCAGTGCCATCTTTCATTGCGGGGATTCTGGGGATCTTTTGGGTGGGGAATTTTCCAGGAGAAAAAGGAAAAGTCGTTCGGGACTTCCCCGACAATGAGCAGGTGACTCGGAACACCTGATTCCCAGGTGAATTTATCCTTTTTTTTTTCTTTTTTTTTTTTCCAAGGTTGTCTTTCTACAATACCCTATGGGTAAAGCTACTTACATGGAGTCCATGCGCCGGTCGGACGTTGATTTACCTCCGACATGTTAGATACATTCTCATCTCACCTAATTCACTTACTAGAGATTACCCGTACGCGATTCAAAATTGAAATATAGTTCCCTAATCTTCGATATATATGAATATGTGTACCAGCCAAACGAGACCGAAGAACCGGCTTGCGCTCCAACCAACCTCATCGTTCATTGCTTTCCACAGTAAAACAGCAACCTATCTAATGATGTATCTCTTTACTCGTCGGGGTTTTAATCGTCCACGTACCCGTGCTCCTTGAGAGCTTTCTGGAGGATGTCAAGCACCACGGGTTGCTTGCGGGCATTATATTCCATCACGGTCTCCCCAGCCAATCGACTAGCGGCAGCTGCCTGCCGTTTGATATCTGCATACCTTTGGCGGTCGTCCTCATGATTGCGCAACCAGTCACGGAACAGTCGATGGCGAATGAGTTCCGCGCTATTCGGACCGAATATATGGATATTCGCATATGGTTCATTGGAACCGAAAAGGCGATGGTCATGCCAGCCAGGTTCGCGAAGCAAGAACTGAAAGCCCGCAGCCTCAAGGGCGGGCACGTAGGAGTCTTCTGCCGTGGGATCAGCAACAACGACGTCAACATCGATAACCGCTTTGGCTGGTAAACTTGGCACGCTGGTTGACCCGACGTGCTCAATAGAAAGAAGTCGATTGCCAAGGGAGCCAGCGATCCGGCGTGCAATAATCGCAAACGCTTCCGGCCATGTTGGATCCGGCTCCACGATCTCAATCAACTTTTGCGGCCGAGTTGAAACGATTTCGACGGCCGGCTCTTGAGACAACACTTTAATCTCACTCGTGGAGGGCATCCTGGTAGCAAGCAATGTCTTATGGTAATATGTATTCTACCGATGATGTTGCAGCTAGATCATGCTTCCAGTGATCCTGAGGACAGTTTTGCGCAAGATTGCATAAGCTGGATGACTCAGAATAAGATCAATCTTTCCCCCCTCCCCAAGACTCGTATTAGGCACCCAATAACTGGAGTGCGGCTAGTAACAATAAGGTATAGCCATTTCCCTGGATTCTTAAGAGAACAAGGGACTTCCATATCGGACCATATTGTCTCCGTATACTGGTCTTCAGCGATTCGATGTCACGAACTTCTATGCTTCTTAGCACACCAACTTGTTTCCCGGCATCACAGTCGCATTGAACGATCGATATTCTCATGTCTGCTTAGATCAGTAGATGTTCGATTTCGGCTGGACAAAAACTTGAACCCTTCCAGCTATAAAGCCTTCACTTAAGCAATACCTTTTCTGTCCATGTACCTACATGTGGACATTGCACTTTTGAAAAAGTCATTCATACCCAACAATCCAACCAACGCGGCCATCAGAAAAGCTAACAAACCATTCCTGCATAATAATTATCCCAAATGGCATCTTGGGGTTAGAAGTATCAAAAGGTCTTGTTGTCGGGGAACAGCGAGAGAGACATACTTCGATTACGTTATTTACCATGCAGGTGACTTGGGCCTCACTGGAAGATGCCGACGATAACCTTGGAGGTGTATTATTGATTCCACGTTACCCGCGGAGAACACACGACTTCCTATACGTCCATTTTTTGCCTTTTTCTAAGTTGATAATTCATACCAAAAGAAAGGCCAACATTGCAAGGTGCGAGAGATCTTCACTGAATTTACATGGAGCTGTTAGTCATCGTAGGTCAAGTGTCGCTTTTCCTTTTAGGCGGGTTTATGAGGTAATTATGGTTCACCGGCCCGCTGACAAAGCGTTGCAGATTGCCTTGAATCCTCCGTACACCACCGTATCGCGTATTGGACCTAGATAGAAGGTCTGGAATGCCTGGCGAGGTTGGCCAGGAGGAGATCCAAGAGCCCAATGACCTCATGCCCAGTTGAACTATAGACGTCCACTTTGTACGGCGTATGTGCCATACCACTGGGTCGGCAATATGGCAAAGGTTAGCCGAATTGACCCGAAGATCACTGGCCTGGATAATTACATACGCGGCGGAATACCGTATCAATACCGGCCCGCCAGCTTCTGCTGGCAAAACCTCAAGAAAGCTTCTTGTCCCAACATCCTTTTTCCCTATACTATACCCTTCTTCCTTCTACCACCTGCAATTGCTACCTCCCCTTTCCTCTCCACCTACTTTAATTGGAGGATTGGCTGTCCCTTATAATCTCTATCCCTGCAGTTTTTTTCTTCTTTAATTCCCCATCTTTTTCACCATGTTCCGGAGTCTCTTGCCGCGGGCTGCACCGCGGGCTGCCCTCCGCACTGCTCGCCCTCAACCTGTCCCTTCTAACTTCGTCGCTGCTCCTACCCTCTCCTTCTTCTCGAAACGTGGCTATGCCTCCGAGTCTGGTATGTGTCCGGTCTTTTCCCCTGCGATGAAACAGCTAGGGACAGGGCCTGCGCTTCCGAAAACGGCTGAGATAGGTTACTGATGGGCGTTGGGATAGGTGAACATGACCTTGTTATCATCGGTGGTGGTGTCGCTGGATACGTTGCTGCCATCAAGGCCGGTCAAGAGGGCTTGAAGGTGCGCTCAAACGCTCAGTGTACCTCAATCGGAGATTTTTTGCTAACCACGGAGATCGCCGACAGACTGTCTGTATCGAGAAGCGCGGCCGTCTTGGAGGCACCTGCTTGAACGTCGGCTGTATCCCCTCGAAATCTCTCTTGAACAACTCCCACCTTTACCACCAGATTCTCCACGATACGAAAAAGCGCGGTATTGAGGTCGGTGATGTCAAGCTGAACCTCGAGCAGATGATGAAGGCCAAGGACACCTCTGTCGAGGGTCTGACGAAGGGTATTGAGTTCTTGCTCAAGAAGAACGGTGTCGACTACGTCAAGGGTACTGGTGCTCTTGTTGATCCTAACACTGTCAAGGTGAACCTGCTCGAGGGTGGTGAACAGACCCTCCGCGGAAAGAACATCCTCATCGCCACCGGTAGCGAGGCCACCCCTTTCCCCGGCCTGAACATCGACGAGAAGCGCATCATCACTAGCACCGGTGCTCTTGCGCTGCAGGAAGTTCCCAAGAAGATGGTTGTCATTGGTGGAGGTATCATCGGTTTGGAGATGGTATGATTGCGAATTTTGCGACGTGAGAGGTTTGAGACATCAATCTCCGTACTAACGTTGGTGACAGGCTTCCGTTTGGTCTCGTCTCGGTGCCGAAGTTACCGTTGTTGAATTCTTGAACCAGATCGGTGGACCTGGTATGGATGCAGAGATCGCCAAGCAGGCTCAGAAGATCCTGTCGAAGCAGGGTATCAAGTTCAAGACCGGCACCAAGGTTACCAAGGGTGATGACAGTGGCGCTTCTGTTTCTATTAGCGTCGAGTCTGCCAAGGGCGGCAAGGAGGAGACCCTGGACGCTGACGTTGTTCTGGTTGCCATCGGTCGCAGACCTTACACCGAGGGTCTTGGCTTGGAGAACGTTGGTATTGAGAAGGACGAGCGGGGCCGTCTGGTCATCGACCAGGAGTACCGTACTAAGGTCCCCCACATCCGTGTCGTTGGTGACTGCACTTTCGGCCCCATGCTTGCCCACAAGGCTGAGGAGGAGGCTGTTGCCGCTGTTGAGTACATCACCAAGGGCTACGGTCACGTCAACTACGGTGTCATCCCCAGTGTCATGTACACTCACCCCGAAGTTGCCTGGGTTGGCCAGAACGAGGCGGAAGTCAAGGCCGCTGGCATCAAATACCGTGTCGGTACTTTCCCCTTCAGCGCCAACTCCCGTGCCAAGACCAACCTCGACACCGAGGGTCAGGTCAAGTTCATTGCTGATGCTGAGACTGACCGTGTGCTCGGTGTTCACATCATTGGCCCCAACGCCGGTGAGATGGTTGGAGAGGCTACTCTGGCCGTTGAGTACGGTGCTTCTTGCGAGGACATCGCCCGGACGTGTCACGCTCACCCCACTCTTTCCGAAGCTTTCAAGGAGGCTGCCATGGCTACCTACTCTAAGGCCATCCACTTCTAAGTTCATGTTACCAATTCGCCATCTGTATCTTTTTAGACTAGCTACGCTAGCAACCTGTAGCATTTGACTGGTTATATTTCCTATGTTGGCTGTGTACTGAGAGTTTATGAATAAAAGACATTATTCTTATCACAAAGAGTAACTGGACGGACGTCTCTGTCGTCATGCGAGACTAGTATGTGATTGTATTTGATGTGATGGTCCGGACTGGACACCAGTATGAAGAGATGGTATCTAGCTGAATTTCTACCAGCACGGAAGTGGGAGGCCCGTCCTTTCATCAGGACATTGCTATGGACTAGTTCCCAACGGCACTTAATTAGCGCAGACTCAACGGTTTACGCTCTATTCGGGAATCTGAAACACGTGGCCCGACGATGTAGGCATCTGTCTGCTATACGTCATGGACGGCGCAAAGGGAAGCACCCATTCCTTCAAAACAGCAAGGAAGGCGTTGCAAACAGCATCCACAGCCTGTTCACGAGACGCTCCACAGCTTTCAACATACACTTTCAAACAGTCAGTCACAGAATCCAAAGGGCCCGGGATGGGTATGCCACTTACGCTTAACTTTAGGCTCCGTCCCCGAGGCACGGAACGTAAACCGCACATCCTGATCCAACCAGAGAGTCAACATCTGGCTTGACTTATCTACTGGTAGCGTAGGCTTGTTGTCGGCCGTGCCGGAATCATAGCCTTCGGTCATATCTCGCCAGCGCAGAATCTTGAATGGTCCCAGGGTCCTCTCGGCTCTATAGGGTCCATTCCGGATAGCGCCGAACAAAGCCATTGTTGTCTCCGGGTTCGGGGAGCGGAAGTAATTGTTGAGGGTTTCATAGTGGCCATATTCCTTGAAGAGCTGCTGTAGTTTCATGTAGGGGGTGAGTCCTTGCGATTGCCATTTGGCTTGTGCTGCTAGGAAGACCATCGCTGCTGTGATACCGTCTTTGTCGTGGCAGACGGCTGGGAACATGTAGCCTAGTGCTTCTTCGAATGCGTAGGGGACATTGTAGCCCTCGCCTTCGAGGCGTCGGGCAATGTTCCCCATCCATTTGAAACCGGTTAGTGCTTCTTCGAATTGAATGCCCTTGGCTGTTGCCATTTTCTCGAGCATGCCTGTCGACACTGTGGAGTTTAGGACAGCAATGCGTGCGTCGTTTTTGTTCTCCAAGGAGTCAAACAGGTGCGATGCGAGTAAGACTCCGATATGATTACCTGTGAAAGAAAACCATGATCCGCTGAATGTTTGGTCAGATCATCGGTGGTATTCAATGATATCAGAGTGCAGCACGTACTCAACTTTCTCCGCGGCAGCAAAGCGATCCGCATCTGGATCATGGGAAATGATCAGGGTTTTGCCTTCCCTATCAGCGGTTTGCATGGCCAGGTCCAAAGCACCAGCTTCTTCGGGGTTAGGGAATGATACTGTCGGAAAATCCGGGTTGGGTTCTACTTGTTCCGGCACGGGCGTGAATTCGGTTACGCCCACAGACTGGCAGAGGTCGGGGAAGACAAGGCCTCCAACTCCGTGCAGGGGTGTGTAGACAAAAGGTCTTGGTTGTTTCCAGTCAGACACAGTTGAGTTCTACATGAGTGATTAGCGCTGTTGGAAGCAAAGTAGGTGGCCACTTACGGCGTAATCCCAAACTGTCTTTGTATAGTGAGGCAAGATGGTCTTGTATGCATCGGCGTGTAGATATTCGCATTCCTGAAGATCTTTCCAGGCGCCAGGCCACGGGGCCAAGTTTTCCTCAATCGATTGGGCTATCTCTACATCAATGGGGGTGTTGATCTGGGCGCCGTTCTTAAAGTAGCTGGGAGTATGTCAGTGATAACTAAATGGAACAGATGAGCAAGGTGTAACGGACACTTTGTAGCCTGTAGAAAAAGTGGTTAGTAGGTCAATGCATCGTATTTGAGGGACTAAGGCTTACCATTATCTTGTGCCGGGTTCTACTGGAGAGTTAGTTTTATTTTCATTTTCGGTTTTCTGGGGTCTTTGAGGGAAAACCTACATGGCTCGCAGTGATCATAATACCAGCAGCCGCTTTCAAGTGAGTTACTCCAAAAGGCACGGATGGAGTCACAGAGGGTTCGGAATAGAACCAAACCGGGATCTGTTGTGAGATGAAGGCATTCGCAGCTAGAGCTGCAAACTTGGCCGAGTTATGACGAGCATCATGGCCAATAACCACTCCGCCCGAAGCACTGTCCGTATGCTTATCCTTCAAATACTTGGCCAGGCCTTGGGACGCCTGGATGACGGTCAAAGAGTTCATGCAAGAGAACCCTGCCGCCATCCGGCCGCGAAGGCCTGCAGTCCCGAATTGAATTCCTATTGTTTACGGTTAACTTGAACTGGTCGGTACAATAACCATAGTAATTTATGACATGTCACATACGTTTTTGAAGCCGTTGCTCAAGATCAGCGACAGCGCCGGAATCCCGAAGTTGTTGGATCTCGGCGCGGGTGGTGGGGTCCTGCGACGTTAGAATGGGCCTGAAGCTTTGGGTGTCGGAGATATAAATATCGACGTCTACGTACTTGGTCCCACTCCAGCCATTTTTGAATGAGCGGAGAAAGTGAGTCCTACACCGGTTAGAAATGTGACATAGTATTCGTATGAGGGGTGGTGGTTACTACCATTATCGAGAACGAAAGATGATCATAAGATCTATTCTGAAAGAGGTAGTGTAGTAGGGTAGTAGGAGGAGGCAACACCGAATGATAGAGGAGGATGCGGAAATGGAGGAATGTAAGTGGACTGATTTAAAAAAAGGATGGGGTGACGATCGACAGCGCGTTTCCAATTCCTCAATAACGTCCACCGCTTCCACCCGCTGCGTACTAACTAATTAGACCCTCTCTCTGCTGCAACCTTCCTCCACTACTACTTCCCACTCCTTCCGATCCCTTGCTACCATTTTCCCTTCTTTTTCTTCTTCTTCTTGTTTTTCTTCCTTCCTTACCTACGCAGGCCGTACGATGTTGACCCGAACTACTTTACTCTACCGCGACTGAGCTGGATACGATCGTTCTCTTAAATATCATGGCCGACACTCTCAAAGCTGCCGCAACACCGACACCCACGTCGAGAAAGGATACTATCCTGTCACGGCGTTGGATCGAAGGTCAGATCGCCGAAGGCAAGCATGTTATTGTTTACGACGACCGGGTGTTGAAAGTCGATGCATGGATCAAATTCCATCCGGGTGGTGACAAGTCGATTAAGCATATGGTGGGAAAAGATGCGACGGATGAGATCAATGCGTATGTGTTTCGGACATCCTCGAATGCTAGTTGTGATATACTGGAAAGCCTTCCTGGATCACTAACAACCTTCCGTACAGTTTACATTCAAAGGAAGCGCGCCAGCGGATGTTGGCCTTCCAGATCGGACGCATCCAGGGTCCGTGGTTAAACTTCCTCCCACCGATCCAAGGCGGGAAGTTCCGCCCATATACCGAGGCAACTTGCACGTCAGATGAAGACAGTTCTGGTCAGGACATGTCTACACCGCCGTCTCCGATCTTCGACTCAGTTGACGCTAAGCCCGGCCTCCGCCGGCGAAAGTCTGTTTCCTCGGATACGTCCGTTTCCACCTCAGCGACCCCGGAGTTTGAGCCAAAGCCGTTCTTTCTCGACGCTCGAACCCAGGAAGAGATCGTCCTTGATGTTGCCAAATACCCGTCTTTGGATACGGAAAGCCAGGAGAGTATCAAACAGAAGTATCGTGCATTAGACCAGCGGATTCGTGATGAAGGCCTATACGACTGCAACTATTTCTCTTACTTCATTGAATGCTGCCGCTATACGCTCTTCGCGTCTCTGTCCTACCTATTCCTCCGCTTGGGTTGGTATGCAACCTCGGGATTCTTTTTAGGATGCTTCTGGCACCAGCTCGTCTTCACCGCCCATGATTCAGGACACATGGGCATTACCCATCATTTCCACGTGGACAGTGTGATTGGCATCATCATTGCCGATTACCTTGGAGGTCTAAGCCTAGGATGGTGGAAGCGCAACCACAATGTCCACCATATTGTGACGAATGCACCTGAACATGACCCCGATATCGAACACATGCCCTTCTTTGCCATCTCGCACCGTTTCCTCACCAGTCTCCGCAGCACGTACTATGAACGTATTATGACGTTTGACGCCTTTGCCAACTTCATGCTACGCTATCAAAACTATCTTTACTATCCGATTCTCTTGTTTGGTCGCTTCAACTTGTATCGCCTAAGCTGGGAATATCTGCTGTGCGGTCAAGCGCCGAAAAAAGGCCCTGCTTGGTGGCACCGGTGGTTTGAAATCGGTGGCCAAATCTTCTTCTGGTATTGGTTTGGGTACGGCGTGGTGTACCGTAGTATTCCCGACTGGGGTAGCCGGCTGATTTTCATTTTGATCTCGCACATGGTGACTGCCCCGTTACACGTGCAGATTACTCTCTCCCATTTTGCCATGTCGACGGCCGACCTGGGTGTCAACGAGTCTTTCCCCCAGAAGATGCTTCGCACCACCATGGATGTCGACTGCCCAACCTGGCTTGACTTCTTCCACGGAGGTTTGCAGTTCCAGGCCATTCACCACCTGTACCCACGCATCCCACGCCACAACCTGCGTCGTACTCAAAAGTTAGTTATGGAATTCTGCCGCGACACTGGCATCCCGTATGCCGTCTTCACCTTCTACGATGGCAACAAAGAAGTTATCGGAAAGCTTGGTGATGTCGCGAAGCAGGTCCGTATCCTTGATGAATGCCGGAAGTCGTGCGCCCAACAGGGCGTCTTCTCAGACCATCACTAGATGGCTACCGTGCTCTTCTAGATGCGTACTGCCCCTCTGATTAACCGTGGTCTCTGCGATCAACCGCATACTCTGGCCCCGTGTATATATTGCACAGTTGTATATAATAATGCCTGCGGACTGTCTTGGGGTATCGGTACCGGCCACCGTTGGAAGATTTGATGTCGACAGATTCGTAATGCCCTATTGATGATGAGATAATGTCCCTCAGTTTGACGTCGGTTATTATTTATATGTATGAGCATCCACTTTAGAGAGTAGAATTATGATCATACCATATGACTTACAAATCCACGTTCCCTTACATATTATACTTGTCCAGGCCCTGCCTTTCCATATATGTACGCTTGTTTTCTTTACTCAATAACGCCCAACATCCGGGGTCTATTAAAGAATGCAGTATGTACACAAACCACGAGGCTCTATGGTCATCATTACAGCATCATGAAAAATCACCATTCATCAGCTAGCATCACCCCATCATACCTCCAGCCCGCGCCACTTTCTTAGCTCTCTGCTGTCGACGATTATGGTTCGCCCTACTGGCCTTATTCTCCTCCTTCCTCTGCCGCTGTGCGGTCGTATTCCCGTCACCGGAACCACCCGCATTACCACCACGCCCGCGTCCAGCACCACCACCCCGTCGACCGCCACGACCACGCCCCCTACCGGGGCCGCCTCTACCTCGAGACCCAGAACCAGCCGGCTCATCAGTCTCACTCCCAGACTCCCCATCACCCCTAGGCCCAGGCCTCCGATAAGCCGTGGGCTTAATCTCCGGCTGCGTAAGACCTGTCCCACCAGGCCCAACCACCGAAAGCGACAACCGATCCTCCAACTTCGCCAACCGCTTCGAATCCCGCGCCAGCATAACAGCCCACCCCTCAATCGCTTCATCCGTCATGCCCGTCTCACGCTTCAGTGAAGCCCGCGGCTGTGATCGACGGGTTGCCGAGTCCCGAGCAAACAGCGCCGGCGTAGCCTTGTACGTCCGGAATAGTGTTAGATCGAGCTCGTCCGCTTTCTGTTTCGCATCGGCGTCTGTGTCAGTGGTGGTGGCGTCCACGGTGCCACCTACGTCTGCTACGTCGTAGGTATCGTCGCGTTCGTCGTCATCTGAGTCGAAGGTCGCCAGCGCTGACATGATGGCCGCTTTATTGGCGGCGTGTTTGCTGCGATCTGCGAGGATGTCGTCTGCTGTTTGGTCTGCATTTGCGCGGCCGAAGCGCAATTTGTCTGTTTCGGCGAGGTCGGCCAGGTCGACGTCTTTGTCGAAGACGTTTTTGCGGGGTTGAATTGGTGGAGAGGGGATTTCTGGTGGTGTTGGGCGGGGAGGGAAGGGGTCGTGCTTGGGGGTAGTGGTGTTAGTAGTGGGGAGCTGTTCTGATTTATCAAGGTCCCGGAGTTCAGGGGGGATAGAGTCATCCAGGAGATGTGCGATGACGGTCTCCGGGTTATCGTCGTAGACATCAAGTAGACGGACAATGTACCCCGATCCCAGGTCAGGGAAGAGGTCTTGGATCTGCGTGACGAGGGACATTCTGTGGATGTGCATGTCTTCTGCTTGGGGGAGATCTGTGGCGGCTCGGGCTTTGCCTTTGTCAAGCCTTTTCTTTTGTTTCTGGTAGCGGTGGTGGAATACATTTGATTCAGTTTGGTATACGCGCAGACTGGAGAGGAGATCTTGGCCGCGTTTCTGCGGGTGCGAAATTAGATACCGGTCCAGACGGGCGAGGAGATCTGAGCTGCAGATGAGATCGGAGAGGAGGGTGGGTTCCTTCTTTGTTGTGGGTGCGTTGATCCCTGCGCTGGCTTTTAGGCTGAATAGCTGGTCCAGAAGTAGGGAGAGGTTTGGTTTCGGGCCTTTTAGTAGAGATGTAAGGCCGACGTAGACGATGGCGACGAGTACTTTGCGGAAGTCGTCCGTCTTGTGTGCTTGATATGCTTCGCAGCATGTGTCCAGGAAGTCGGAGCCGGCCATCAGCGCCTGGCCGCATGTGGGGAGGACAGAGCCCAAGATGGTTAATAGGCGAATGTCAGAGATGATCTTTGAAGCTTGTGCGGGGCTTGACATGGACAGCTGTTTCGTCATGGTTGTCTTTGCCTTCTCGAGGCTCGATGATATCGTCTCTTCATGCTTGTCCCATGCTTCGGATAGTAATTTCTTCAGCGCAGAGCTGGAGGGATAACAGCTGCACACGTTGCCCAGGTACTTCCATTCCAGTAGATCAGGTGGTGACGTGGGCGCGTCCAACAAGAGTCGTCTTGTGAGCAAGAAACATAGCTTCCGTAGTGTTCTTGCTCTCGGCCCCATATGCAAACCCGGCGTACGAGTGCTTGCCAGCTGGTCATAGAATGAAGCCAAGAAGGTGACTGCGGAGTCATCTGTGGACGCATGTTCTGTGAATTCCGCATCGGATGCTTCTATGCGCAGGGTCAGAAGCAGGATCCACGCATCTATATAGAGCTCCCATTCCTGGGGTGGTATGGCACTTTGCACCGCGGGGGGTGGAACTGGTGCAAGAGGAGGCCAATTTGCCATGACACAGCGGTTCTACAAAAGTAACGACGCAGAAACAAGAAGTATGCTAGAGAATAAAAGCTCAAAACGAAAGTAAAAAAAAGGGAAGTCAAGAATATATCGTCATCATTAAACTTGACAATCAGCCCCATATTCTTTATCGCATTTATCAGATGGCATGTCATTGGTGATCTGCTGACTCATTCACCCCGGGCGCCCGATCCGGTTAGCACAAGATAGGCGAGCGCCAAGACACAGCACCCGCACAAGCGGCGCTAAGCGCACTATCGAAAAAAAAAGCGAAAGAATTCACGATAATAATAATCGCGTATCGCCCAGAGCTATTCCAACGGCCATCATCACCTTACCGAACCTCGAAGTTCAGGTCTTGATTGGCAACTAGCCTTACTTTACGGTTGGTCCCCCCACTCCCACATTTATCTCTTTTTCCTTCTTCCCCTTCTTGCAACTAACCCGTCGACCTCTAGCCATCTCAATCCCGGTCTCCCCACCGCAAACCAACCGTCAAGATGTCTTTCCAGAAGCCCGAGAAGGATTTCGGCGAGGGCCCTGTACGTTGATCCAACTGCTCTCCAACCCCAAGTTCATCTCAAGAAGAAGATGACGGACGACGGGCGGAAGAGAAGCTACGAAACAATGCGCCAGCCATACTAACAGTCCCCAACAGAAGGTCCACAAGATCCGTATCACCCTTACCTCTCGCAAGGTCGCCTCCCTCGAGAAGGTTTGCTCTGAGCTGATCGAGCGTGCCCGCTCCAAGTCCCTCCACGTCAAGGGTCCCGTCCGTCTTCCCACCAAGACCCTTCACATCTCCACCCGTAAGACCCCCAACGGTGAGGGTTCTAAGACCTGGGACAAGTACGAGATGCGCATCCACAAGCGTCTCATCGAGTATGTTGCACTTCATCTACCCTTGTGACTAGAGAAGCGGTTACTAACGAATTGATTCAGCCTCCTCGCCCCCACTGAGACTGTCAAGCAGATCATCATCAACATCGAGGCTGGTGTTGAGGTCGAGGTCACCATTGCCGCTTAAATTTACTCTAAAATGTTCTAGTTCAGTCTAGGGAGGGAGTGATATCCGCTCTTGACTGGGGTGGGCGAGTTTGGCGCGTGCTGGGCTTTCGTCGATATCCGCTAGAATCTGGCATAAAAATGGAAAAGTTTGTGGGAAAGTACTCTTTGGTGTTGTTGTACGCTGGTTGTAGAACGTATGTAACGTATGGAATATGTAGAACCGTAGGACGTGTACGGTTGTAGATTTGTAGTTTGGTGTTGCTTGGCAATCCTGTTCACTGGATGGCTGGTTGAAGGCGCCCTGTCTTCCATGTGATCGTCATATTAAAAGAAAAGAAGTAACTATATACTACAAAGTTCGTGAAGTGCATATCGAAAAATAAAAAACCATGGTATCCTCGACGTTCTCCAGGCCCTAAAAGTCGAAGCTCACCCATTCCGTCTTAGGTGGCACGCTGGGAATAATGCCGTCCTTGAAGTATCCGTTTTTCACAAAGAACTCATACTGTTCCGTAACCTCGGGGGTATACTGTTCCGGTTTTCCTGTTGCATCTCTCAAGCTCGCCTGGTCGGGAGGCCCATCCGGGAAGAAGATGCGAACATATGTTTGGCGGTCCTGAGGGTGCAGATAACACGGGTTGTTGTCAATATACTTGACTGGTTGTCCTTTCCATGTGGACAGTCTCTTGGTCATAGGGTCTCGGACCGTCTGGCCAGCTAAGGGTGGAATGGGGCTGAGCTGGTTCGGATCCTCAACCTTGATGATGGCAGGAGGACCAGTGCCTGCCGTGGCGGTAGGAATTGGGGGTTGTTGTTGTTGTTGTTGTTGAGCGGGCTGTGCGAACCCGGATGCTGGCTGGCCAAAGGGTGAAGGAGTGGCCTGTGATTGTTGTTGTTGCTGCTGTGGTTGACTGGGAGCCCCGAAAGGATTTGGTGCGGTGGGTGGCTGGCCAAATGGGTTTGACTGTGGCTGGGGTTGGGGCTGGCCAAATGGGGATGATGTTTGTGTGGGCTGGCCGAAGCTGCCCGTTGTCGCTGGGGTTGTTGATGACTGTCCAAATCCAGAAGATGTTGCAGGTTGTTGATTAGCAGCCTGTGCAAATGGAGACACGGCTGATGCGGCTTGGCCAAAACCGACACCTGCGCTTTGATTTTGGTTTGATATTGCGCCAAAAGGAGATGCGTTGGCGGATGTGCCGAATGATGAGCCTCCTAATGTTGAAGGTTGCCCAAACGCTGATGTTTGACCGAAAGCGGGCTGGCCTGAGTTCGACTGGCCTAAACTGGGCTGTCCAAACGCTGGTTTACCAAACGCAGGCTGTCCACCACCTAGCCCCGAAGGTTTACCAAAGGCTGATCCCGAACCCAATGTACTTGATTGTCCAAACCCAGAGCTCTGCCCCAAGGTAGATGGTTGACCAAATCCCGATGGCTGACCTAACGCCGATGGCTGACCGAACCCAGAGGGCTTGCCAAAGGCTGATCCTGAGCCTAAAGCACTTGGTTGTCCGAAACCAGAGCTCTGCCCCAATCCCGACGGTTGGCCAAATCCCGATGTCTGACCGCTAGCAGCTGGCTGGCCGAATGCTGAGGGTTGACCAAATGGAGACGGACTTTGACTGGCCGCAGGACCCGTCTTGCCTTCTGTGATATCAATTCTATTTGGGTGTTCATTGATACCATCAACGATGTATTTCACGGCACCGCCAAGGTCGTTCAATATGACATCCATTTGTTTCAATGCCTCGGCGTACAAAGCCTGAGCCTCTTGGACTGCCTGCTCTGCATTTCCTGTTGCAGCAGCTTCATAGTGACGCAGCCGCAACTCTTCGAAGGATTGCTCTCGCTGGACACCTCCAAACAATTGCTTTGGAGCGTTTTTACCAGGACCATAACAAGAAAAGACCCATTCTGGACGACTCTTACCAGCGGTTAGGTCGGCCTTGATATCATCTGCTGTGATACCATAGCTTTGCTTGCGTCAGTAGGGAATTTCTTGTTGCCAGAAGTGCATCACTTACTTTGCTGGCTGCTGGTTCTGTTGCGCATTACGACCTGTACTAATGTCAGATACAGAGGATACATGATAGACCGTGCAAAGGCAAGTTAGAAGAGTACTAGTTAATGCCAATTCCAATAAGTGTACTCAGGGCAATGAGTAGATTGTCTAACACCCATAAGGCAAAGATCACGTAGCTCACAATATCCCTTGAGGAATTTGTGACAAATAACCAAGCAGTAAGATTGGAACACGAAACATTCAGACGTTTCAGAGGGTGGGGAACAAAGATGAAGATGAAAGTGAATCAAAAGGAAGGCATACCTCCGAAGCCTCCTCCTCCACCTCCTCCAGACAGCACTCCAAAGCGGTTCCCTGAGCCTAAACTTGATTGGCCGGGGTGCTCGAATTTGCAGCGTTCTAATTCAATGATCAGTACATCGTCCACCAGAAGCTAGGAAGTAAGAAAGGAAAGACTAGGGTCGAAGAGGCTAACTCTACCTCCAAATTTACACCGGCCTTGCTGAAAGAAGCTGCAGACCACCATCTTGGCTTCTTTTCTGATATCGGATTTAACTGGAGATCAAAGTTCCCTGCTGGACTTTTGCAACAGGGTTCTTCAGATCAGAAATGACGCTCGGCTGGATATCAGTAGGCCAAGTACATTATCTGATGGAAGCGAATAAAGACAGCATATATTCGCGATCAACACCCTGAGTGAGTTATGAAAGTGGAAGTTTCTTGTTGATGAGCCGCCAGCGAATGAAGTGTTGTTCATCAGTCTGAAGTTTATGCCGGTGACAATACATTTCACCCAGTCGGAGTGCTTCCTGTCCTGCGCATACCCTGGCTGGTGTACGAGACCGGTATTGGTAAATTACAACATCATTCTATGACCTTGCGAACATTCACCATTATTTGTCTGTTAAAGAAGACCCTTCAATTTTATATCAATCTTCGATATCCTGGTACGGTGCTGTGCTGAGTACTATTATTACAAAGTGAATTTACGAAAGGCTCCAAATTCAAACTCCAAATTCTCCAATCCCCAAACCGGATCCATAAGAATTGAAATCGTGTCGCATTTCCAACAAGCTGCGGGCTCATTTCACAAAACTTAGTCATTGCGGTAGAGCTACTATGTCTGCGATGGTTGGATTCCTTGTCTGAGAATGTCCCAGTTCAGTCCATCGACCTTCTTTCCGCCCAAGGACTCGAGATCGGCAGACAAGTTCTCTAACTTCCCTGTCGCAAGACGACGCATCATGACGGTGTCCTTCGCGCCATGCAACCCCTTTGCATTTCCGTGGAGAAGACAGTCCTCAAACCACTCCTCTTCCTGGTCATCGAAGGGAAGACCAATCAATTCCATAGCGCGCTTGCTCCGGGTCTCGCCAGCTTCCGTCGAATGTACGAATTCAATTAGTTGCGTAAAATAATTCCGGCGAAGCAAGTCGTCATAGTTCCGGGTAAAGTAGAAGGCCTCCGTAATGCTGGAACGACAAAGGGTTCTGAAGAATGCTTTCTGGACCTTTGCAGAAGCCAGCGGTGGGCTCACGGTGAGGTAATACGCCATTACGAGGCTGTCATCGTGCTTTGGAAGCTGTGGTAGGGTGAGAACGTAAAGAATCTCATCGGGAAATGTTGGAATGATGGATGGTTCGGTCAAATATTCAATAGCGCGCTAGATTGACCGACGGCGTTAGCAAGCTATCATGGATCGCATGTCCGGTCTCCTCAACGTACCCTAAATTCTAACCTGTCTAGGTTCCAGAGTCCTTCAATAAAGAAACGGTACTTTTCAGGAAGATGGAATCGCCGCGAAAATTGTGAAGCATAGTCATTGGCCGCCCGGCAGTCCTTCAAGAGATAGTAGATCAAGGCCTGCTTGTGATGGATATCCAGTGGGGATGATACGATGTGCCCGAAAAGGGTTCGGAGGTCTGCGTTGGACTTTGGAGGGTATACTTTTGTCACTATATAGATATGCTGGTCAGGAACATTGTACATTTTATCAAAGCTTGGTCGATATTACCTGCTTTCACGCCCAGCAGACCTAGGAGTCTGTCGGCGAACAGCTGGTTGTCCAACGCCCGGCGGTTGGACAGAATCTGTTCAATGACTTTGCCATCATAGGCAAAGTTCTTGTTGAACGAGAATACACTGTCGAAATCTTCCCAAGGCGCCATTTTGGGCCGCGCCACACTCTTGTTAGCTGTGAGGCCTTTTTGATATAAATGCCAAAGATTACTCTTATCGTGTTGAATCCGTACCATGGTTACAATACATACGGATGACATAATACAGGCGGTGGCCGCCAGACTGTTGTGGCAGAAAAACAAGGCTTTTCCTCTTTGGGCGACAATGTAAACAACCCACTTCCACCCACCAGCGCTTTTTCAAACAGCCGGTAACATCGCGACACTGTCCCCGTTCACACTCGCCTTCATGAGGCCCTCCTTTGCGGACCATACCACCATAGCATAATGTCGTCAATCGCAAGAGGCAGGCCATCCCGGCGCTCTGCTCCTCGAAGAAGCTATGTCATGTCGGAGACATCTGAAGAGGAAGATCCCGGAAATGTGACCCCCACACCGTCCCAGCCTGACGTTGAAGAGGAGAATGAAGATGATTACACCCCAGTTCCCAAGAAACCAGCCACAAGGAGACGGTCTAGCAGGCGTACGACAGCTGATGCGCCTGCACCTACGCCTAGCACCGCACGCCCCGCACGAAGGTCCCGCAGGTCGACAACAGCGGAGCAGGAGGAGGTATCGCAAGTTGGTGAATCAAATGACGAAGGGAGTTCAGTTGCATCTGTAGAAGAGCCTGAATCGCCTTCACAAAATGTGGCGGCAACGAAAAGAAGAAGTATGGCATCCCGCAGGAGTCGTGACTCCATGACGCCCAAACCGGAACGATCCTCAGTCGAGCCCTCCGTGTCACCCCAGTCCCAAGCCCAATCCCAGAGAGCCAGCGTGCCACCACTCGGCGATATCACCGAATCCGCAGTGAACAAGTCCCCTTCGCCCGAGGACACAAAGTCGCAAATTTCAATCATTAATCCCCATTCGACCGTCCTCGAAAAGCCGATGGATATCATGATGAAGGCGCGCAACTTGGCTCATCCGACAATACCTGAGGAACCATCAGGGCCGAAGAGCCGCATGGTTATCAAGACTTTAATCCTTAATAACTTTAAAAGTTACGCAGGGAAACAGATCGTAGGGCCCTTCCACGCGTCTTTTTCCTCAGTTGTCGGACCGAACGGCTCCGGAAAGTCCAACGTAATTGATGCGTTGCTATTCGTGTTTGGCTTCCGAGCCAGCAAAATGCGACAAGGCAAAATCTCCGCCCTGATTCATAATTCTGCTGATTTTCCAGATTTGCCCTTCTGCGAAGTCGAGGTTCATTTCCAAGAGGTCCTCGATCAGCCAGATGGAACACATGAAATAGTCCCAGATTCCCAACTGATCATCTCTCGAAAGGCATTTAAAAACAACACCAGCAAATACTACATGAATGGCAAGGAAACAAACTTCACCGCCGTAACGACCTTGCTCCGTGACCGAGGAATCGACCTAGACCATAAGCGTTTCCTGATTCTCCAGGGTGAGGTCGAGTCCATTGCGCAGATGAAGGCAAAGGCCGCGAATGAGCATGAGGACGGGCTTCTCGAATACCTTGAAGATATTATCGGAACTTCGAAATATAAGGCCCCCATTGACGAAGCAGCCGCCGAATTAGAGACGTTGAACGACGTTTGTGTTGAGAAGAATAACCGTGTGCAGCACGTGGAAAAGGAAAGAAATGCTCTCGAGGACAAGAAAGATAAAGCTCTTTCCTACCTCAATGACGAAAATGAGCTCACCCAGAAACAGTCGGCACTCTACCAAATTTACATTGAGGAATGTGCCGATAACATCCGCGTCACGGAGGAGGCTATCCTCCAAATGCAAGAACTCTTGAACATGGAACTTGAGAAGCATGAGGGCAATGAATCTGGGATCAAGGAGCTTGAGAAAGCTTACAAGCGTGGCATGCGCGAATACGAAAACATGGAGAAAGAAGTACAAGCTTTGGTCAAAGAAATGGCGAAGTATGACAAGGAGTCCGTCAAATTTGAGGAAAAGAAGAAATTCTTGGTTGGCAAACAAAAGAAACTGGAAAAAGCAATGCAGACTGCTCGTTTGGCCGCTTCTGAATGCGAAAGCTTGGTCGAGAAACATTCTAGTGACATTACCAAGAAGACCAAAGAGACTACGGATCTAGAGAAAGAGCTTAAAGCGGAAGAGGATGAATTGTCGGCAATCCGTGAAAGCTTAAGGGGCAAAACCCAGGGCCTTTCAGATAAGATCACAGCCAAACAGAAGTCACTTGAGCCATGGGATGAGAAGATTAACAAAAAGGTCTCCGCTGTGGCAGTGGCACAAAGTGAGCTCGACATTCTCCGAGAGAGAAGCAATGCCGGTGCTGTACTCCTGGAGGAAGCACAGGGCAAGGTTTCATCTATTGAGGAAACGTTAGCCGCCAAGGAAACCGATCTTGAAGAACGGAAAGAACAGAAGGCGATTCTTGAGGAAGAGGTCGCGAAGCTAAAGCATAACCTCAAGAAGTACGCTCACAGGGAGCCAGAAGTTCGCTCTCATGTCTCCAGTGCCCGACAAAAAGCAGACGAAGCAAGAGCTAGCCTTGCAAGCACGCAAAATCGTGGCAGCGTACTATCTGGCCTCATGCGTCTCAAAGAATCTGGTCGAATCGAAGGGTTCCACGGACGACTTGGAAACCTCGGGACAATCGATGAGAAATACGATGTGGCTATATCCACGGCTTGTCCCGCGTTGGAAAATATGGTGGTGGACACAGTCGAGGTTGGTCAACAATGCATCGACTACCTGCGGAAGAACAACCTTGGCCGAGCCAACTTCATACTTCTAGATCGTCTTCCACGACGGGATATGTCAGCGGTATTCACCCCGGAGAGTGTCCCACGTCTATTCGATCTCGTGAAGCCCAAGGATCCAAAGTTTGCTCCAGCATTCTATAGCGTGATGCAGAATACTCTTGTCGCCAAGGACCTAGAGCAAGCCAATCGCATAGCCTACGGTGCCAGACGGTGGAGAGTAGTGACACTCGATGGCCAGCTCATCGATACGTCCGGTACTATGAGTGGTGGTGGGACCCGTGTTGCTCGCGGTGCAATGTCGTCGAAGCAGGTCGCGGACACCAGCAAGGAGCAGGTTGCAAGACTCGAAGGTGACCTTGAGGAAATGGAGAGGAAGTTCCAGGCTTTCCAGGAGAAGCAAAGACATATCGAGGCGGCGATGAGAGAGAAGTCCGAGGAAATCCCACGTGTCGAGACCAAGATTCAGAAGATATTAATCGAGATTGAGAGCACCAACCGTAGCCTCGCAGATGCCCAGCGGCGCGTGAAGGAATTGAGCGCTGCCCACAAACCATCCAAGACAGATGCAGCCCAGGCTGCAGCTCTGGAGAAGCAGATCGCTTCTCTCGAAGAGGATATCGAAGATCTCCGTTCTCAAAAGGGAGGCATTGAGGAAGAGATCCAAACTCTCCAGAACAAGATCATGGAGGTTGGTGGTGTAAGACTGCGAGGTCAGAAGGCTAGAGTCGATGGTCTGAAAGAACAGATCGGCATGCTTGCCGAAGAGATCTCGAATGCGGAAGTCGGCAAGTCTAAGAACGAGAAGCTTATAGTCAAACATCAAAAAACGCGTGGGGATGCTGAAGAGGAGCTCGAGCATGTCACCGAGGACCTCGACAAGCTGAATGAGGATGTCTCCAACCAGGCTAACGACGCATCCGGCTGGAAGCAAAAGGTAGAGGAAGCACAAGAAGCCCTCGAGTCAAAGAAGGGAGAGCTCAAGACCGTGAAGGCGGAGTTGGATGAGAAGGTGGCTGAATTAAACGAATCCCGGGCCACGGAAATCGAAATGCGCAATAAGCTTGAAGAAAACCAAAAAGCTCTAGCAGAGAATGAAAAGCGCGGGCGCTACTGGCACGAGAAACTATCCAAGTTGGCATTGCAGAATGTGAGCGACCTTGGAAACGAGGAAGCACCTGCAGAGCTGCAGACTTATACCAAGGATGAGTTATTAGAGATGAATAAGGAGTCTTTGAAAGCTACTATTGCAGCTTTGGAAGAGAAGACGCAGAACTCCCCTGTTGACCTCTCTGTAATCGAAGAGTACCGTCGTCGGTCAGCCGAACACGAAGCTCGTTCGGCGGATCTCAATACTGCCCTTGCATCTCGCGACAGTGCTAAAGCTCGTCTTGACGGCCTTCGATCCGCTCGATTGAATGGATTCATGGAAGGCTTTAGCATCATCTCGCTCCGCCTTAAGGAGATGTACCAGATGATTACAATGGGTGGTAACGCAGAACTAGAACTCGTGGATTCTTTAGATCCTTTCTCTGAAGGTATCTTGTTCTCCGTCATGCCTCCGAAGAAGAGCTGGAAGAACATTGGCAACCTGTCCGGTGGTGAGAAGACACTATCTAGTTTGGCCCTGGTTTTCGCCTTGCACCATTACAAGCCTACACCACTGTATGTCATGGACGAAATTGATGCCGCATTGGACTTCAGAAACGTAGGTGTACCCTCTTGTCGCCCGACAGAACAAGCCAGTTAACTCAAGTGTTCCAGGTCTCCATCGTGGCTTCATACATCAAAGAAAGAACGAAGAACGCGCAATTCATTGTCATCTCCTTGAGAAACAACATGGTAAGCTCCTCAACCTAGTTCGCTGTCCTTGAATATTGCTAACGGCAGTAGTTCGAGCTCGCATCGCGCCTGGTCGGTGTCTACAAGGTCAACCATAAGACTAAGAGTGTGACCATCGAGAACAAGGATTATATCAAGAGACAGTCATGAATGCAGTAATTAGTGTGTTTGTTGTTTTGCGTTGCTTTTTCTCAACGAATGTTTATGAGCCGGAAATGGATGGGAATATGATGTGGTTCATGTTTATTCGGTGTGATGGGTTTCTGCAAGTATTTTCGATTCTCTTTTGTTATGTCCATGGGTACCGACAGGAGATTTTGGGATAGGTCACTTCTATTCGGCTGAACATGTTGTTCTTTGTGTTCTTCAGTATATAATTTTCTTATGACAGATGGAAATTTCTGCGACTTACATACAGTTTGCCATCATACATAATCTTCAGGTCGATTAATGTGATCACGTCTCAGTTATCTACCGGTCAAGCTTTGCAGGATGCAGCATATAAATGATGCAACTTCTAACCACTCACTTCATTGTTTATAGTGACATAACCTTAGCCATACAAGACGTGGAGGAGATCGTAGAATGAGGTCACCTATAGAGCAAGTCTATTAGCGAGATATTAAGCATAATGATGTCCAGAAACGCCACCTGCGCGCTAGCAGACACTAAAGATAGTTATACTTCTTGGAAAATCTGGTAGGTTTCTACCACTGATAAATTTCCGCCATCGTGTCACACTAAATATAGAACGGACAAGCTTTAACAGTGATGCTGTGTTTTAGTACGATGCGATCTACTAGAAGTCTAGAACACGAACGAACGAGTACATAAATGTATAGCATCATCGACCAACTCACCTGGGGTCTAGATCCTCGTCTTTCAAGTATCGCCGGGCATTGAACCAGTCTCCTCCCTCATTGTTCTGGGATGCTTTGGCGGATTTATCCTTTCAGGTTTTCCCAGTGGGATATTGAGCGCTGGAAGGGCTGATTCATGTGCAAAATAAAGTGGGATGTTCTATCTAGAGAGTTCAGGTAATGATGCCGTTCTAGATCGATCTTCGATTGCGATACTACTCTAAAAACCTACAGATTTATCAATTCATCCTCTCGTCTTGAATAGAAGAGCAAGGTCTACAGATACACATTTCTCGATTAAGATCACAATGATTGATTCAAACCCAGAGAAAGGGCACTGTTGAGATAGAATACATACAAGCATGTCGAAATGTCGCGCGAGCGTTTCGTTCATCGCTTTCGTAACGACATTCACATCATGAACCAAGTGCTTGCCAGCCTCGTCCTCTCCCCTTAGCATTATTAAAAAATATAATTTAAGAATGTAAGGTGCGTATTCGAAGTTGAAAGGGAATCGAGCAAAACTAGATCGCTTGTCCACCCACGCTTGGAAAGAAGTAAAGAAATTGGAATAGAGGTATGTTGCCCAAAATAAACCGAAACTCCGCTTCCATCTTAATAGCGCCGTAGTCTATGTTGAATCCGTCCGTCAAAGTCACAAAGGCTAGGAAAGGAAAGAACAAATGAAACAACAAAAAAAAAAAAAAAGAAAAAAACGAAAAGAAAAAAGAAAAAAAAAAACAGGTCATGGTCATTGACCGTCATTCATGAAGCAATATCCACCCGTTTATAATGGGATATTGTAAAGATTCACGGGATACCGTGATCTGTTATGTAACGTAGTTTGATAGCGACCACAAATATGGTTTACGCGACAACTGACCGGCGTGGTGCGATAGGAATTGGCTTGGGACCTGAAGATTTATCAAGCGTAGACATCCCAAGGTCGCTATCCTCGTACTTCTGCGACGCTTTCAATTTGCCGCCACCCACGATTGAAGGCCGTCGCGCATCCTCGCCGTCACGTATGGTACTACAAACGAATCGTTCTTCGGAAATGGGGTCGGCTCCGAACATCGAGCCTAACTGTTGCAAGAGAGCAACAAAGTTTGCGTGAATTTCTGCAAAGATGTACTGGTTGCCCACGATCTCGCTAAGATTCCTTGCTTTCACTTGGCCAGGGCGACGAAGCTGACCATCTGGATCAAGGGCGCGGCCGGTGAGGAAGGAAGAGACTGGGGTGTACTGTCTATTGTTCGTCCGATCGGGTCTTTTATTCTGTTCTTCGCGACGCTTTTCTTCCTCCTGATACTTCTCCGCCGATTTGACGATTCCCGCTGAGATTCGACCGAAAGCACGCCAGATCACCGGACAAGCGCGGAACGCCCTTCCAGTATCTTTTCCGGCTAGTGCAACCAATGCGTAGCTGCGCCTTTTACCGCGTGCCATGGGATCCGGAAGGCGAAAGACAAACGCGATCGTATACCCCGCAGAGGAGTCGCCAAAGCACAAGGGACCGGAGGATGCACCTTGCGGAAGGAGCTCACAACTCAGGGTTCGAATGGAAGAACGTCGAAGAAGAGCATAATCTGCTGGGTTTGGGGGGCCTCGTAGCGAGAGATAGGTGAGAATATGTGTGTGACAAGAGGCATCGGATGCAACCGAGGAGGAATGTAAAGACTCAGGATAGGAGGCGTGTACATGCGGGTCGTGTGTACCGTCATCGGTTTCGGAGTGACTTGAGCCGCAAGAGTAGACGACCTCTCTAGAGCGTAAAACGGGACTCCCGTTTTTCCCTTTACCATCGCTCTTAGGCGTACCGGGAGCGCCTGGAGGGAGCTGCTTGCTTACATCTTCTGGCAATGTCAAACTACAGCTTGCGCAGGTATCGCCGTCTGCACCTCCAAGTGGGTTCAATCTCTGCTGGGCCTCAGCTGAATTGGCCTGTGGCTTGATAAAGTAGGGGTGATCCTCGATTTTTTCAAAGTCGGCTTTGCCGGGAAGTTTTCCGGGAAGTTTGGATGAATTGGAGTCCTTGCCAGAAGTAGGGCTCTGTAGATGAGAAGATACTGTGTCATGAGAAGTTGCAGGGGTGTCGTCGGGAGAGAAATCGGATCTGTCTGGGTAGCATTGCGAGCAGGAGAATGGCAAGACCTGCGAGCAGATGATCGAGGTGGGACCATGCACCTCGCAAAAATGCGTCAAGGAGAGCTAGTGGACGAATTGTTAGTTTCGGACAAGTAACACCCCGAGAAATACGAGCAAATGTTGAAACCCCCACGGCGCGAGGGAGGCGAGCAGTGATGAGATCATCATTCTGGCGAGGCCCCATGCGACCATGATGCGCTCAACACGTGAATTGATACGACCAATTCATGAGGAAGATAAGAAAGCACCCATGGGAAAGAGGGTAACCGTGATAGTACACGTTGTTACGTCGATGCGATAGAGCCAAGGGACGGATAGGATAGCAGGGTGATAGCGTCGTGCGTCCAAGCCGGAAAATATAGTTTCATACTTACAATGAAATCCATATCCACGAGTATTAACGTCTAGCAGTATCCAACAACCATATTAGACCATTATTTCGATACATGCTTTCCGGGAATAAAGAACCAAGTGGCGAAGATCGTGGTTGTGGCAATGACGCAGGGTCGAACACTGAAGTCAGACTGAGATAGAGAGTGCGGAATGGAATGTATGTAGGTTTTTAGTCTGGCTGGACCGGATTTCCAGACCAAGGCAAGTCAGAATAGAGAGCGAGAGTGTGTTCACTGCAAAACGACTCGATTTCCTCGTCGTCGCTTGGGGAAGGGCTGCAAAGGCCAGCTTGCAGACCAAGAAACCGGTCGTAAAGGAAGGAAAGAAACGAAGGGAGAAGAGGCGAATATTAAAGATGAAAGAACCGACGAGTCTACTTTTTCCACTGGCAGGATCGTTACTATGCAAGATTAATGGATCAAAAGGAAGGGGGGGTGGAAAGACTCCCAATGTGGATCCCATCGGCTGCGTACGGTATCGTTCGGTATCGTAACGGTTTAGGCCGAGAACAGTAAGAGGCCCAATGACCTTTGACCCAAACAAAAGCCTCAAGACCTTCCCCCCACTAGGCCTTTTTCAATTCCTCCAACTCTTGAATCATTTTCTTCCCGTCCATACATACTGAATGGTAACAGAATTACTTACTTTACCTCTTGGGGATGTATGAAAGTAAGGTTGGAGGGGCATTTGATTCATTCATGCATTAAATTTGATGCCCTACATATGTGCATACATACACACCTACATTAAATGTATGTACGTATGTACGTACATATAAACTGACTTACATAGGTACTTAAGCTCTTGGATACGTCCTTTATTAATACTAATTGTACCTCCGGGATGGAATCATGTGCTGTACTGTGGTATCTATAAGTTCTTTGCACTCAGTCGAATATACCTAAATATTACGAAAGGACCTCTCTCTCGTACAACGTAATCTCTCATTGTTTGATTCAGATTCTCAGCGCTAAGACAATTCCTCGTCAAACGGAGTAAATAAATAAAACTAAAACCACTTCCTCTGTATCTGGTTCGCTTATGGTGATGAAACTAGCTGAGATCGTTCAGTTCTTGGCCAACTAGTCGGATGGAGCCCCGACAGAAAACGGTCTTCTTCCAGGCCATACTTAGTTACCCCGAACTTAAGTCGATGTTCTTCCATAGTGATAATATAGTTAGTAGATTGAAATTAGTTAGAGTTGTTCGCTTAATCAGGCTCAGACGTTTCAGGAGAGATCATCGGTGTTCAAGGGGAAGAGAGGAAAAGCTCATCTCATTGATACCTACCGATGGTAAGGAAGTTACCAAGAACGTCTCGGGAAAACGCCCAAGGCTTGTACGGGCTTGCCAAAGTGGAAGGAATCTCTCCGTACCCAATTTGACGGGACGGCGTCTGGCCGCTAAAATCGATGCTCCCCCGATTTCTTTACGCAATCGAAGGTTTGTAGAACGGGAAATGGAAGAAGTCAATCGCAGATCCATCCTTATCCTTTTTCCGCGGTCTTTTCCTTTTTTTTTTTTTATTTTTATTTTTTTGCTTTTTCGCCTTTTTTTTTTCTCCCTCTCGCTTTCTTTCTTTCAACAAACTTTCCGAGAATAAAAAAAGTACGTTGATGACGATTATTGACTGCTTACAGCAAGGCACTTCAAAAACAGGCTTTTCCTTTGTTTGGAAATATATTTTTTATCAATATAAAAAGCCAGTTTTAAAATCAAGTAGGATTATCAGGGGAAATTGTCCATGCATTTATTTACCCGGTGACCATGAAAGGGAAGAAGAATAGATTAAAAATGAAAAAAAATAAATAAAATATAATATAATAAAGGGAAAATAAAATCAAATAAGGTAAATTGAAGAAGAATTGAAGAACATCGGTAGTACCCATCCCAAAGTCAGGAATACCTATTTGCCGTCCCAATGCCGGTTGTCCCGCTACGTCCCAGGGTTGTTCCCTGATTTCATCAGCATGATCCCCGTCACTGTTTCGTTTCTTTGGAGTCTGGAGTTGAGAATCACGATAAGCCTCAAAATGTAACTAGTTCCTCTCTTATGGATCTTGGAGCAATCACAATTATGGTAAATAATCATCCCGGACGTCTAGGGTTGTGGTAACCCTTCCGTAACTTACGGTTGGAACCGTTTTCGTCTTGCTCTCCGTTTGTCTTCAGGTCAACCCTGATCGAGTAAGGCTCCGCGATATAGGATCCGAAGCAGGCTAGACTCTGTCACATGCCCAGGAGGAGATTCACGTTTGCTCCCTCAGCCCTTAAAATGGAGTTTTGTTGTTTTTCTTAAGTCCGCTAGCTGTTCCATCTAGAAACCTCGGCGGGGGGTAGTAAATACTACGGTTAAATCCTCTCGGAGTCCGGAGTATTATCCTCATGGGAATTACACAGAAACTACTTGGAACAAAAGGGGCGTTTCAACTACAAACAACCGGTCCATTCCTGGGGTTGGATTGATTGCCGTTCGGACTGCTACCTGCTAAATAGTTCCTGCCTCAAGCACAACGAAAAGTATAGACGAGGATATACTCCGTGATTCGGTGCACACCACATTGTCAGACGGTCGAGAGCCTGTCACTACAATTCCTGGCCCTCCGATTTGCTCCATGGAGCAGAGGTCTAGAAGGAAGCACAATTAACCTTTTTCGTTTCAGTGGACTCGGGAACGCGGCACTCAAACCGACAATCATATGCGACTCGTTACTGTTTCTGGTACCAGGAAACTATAACCCTGAGTAAAAAAAGAATATTTTAGCATCAACAGATTTCCTGGTTCGTGGCTCCACCTCGCCTTGGGTCAAACGTACACAGTAAAACAGGTCCAGCCCAATCTTAGGAAGGAGCCAGCCATGCGGGTGTCGTCGCCTCCGTACTCTTGTACATACACTAGAGATCACTAACTTACTCCTACTACTACGTACATGTGTTGCTGCTGCATGCGGAGTGCAGCTCCCCGTCGATGATAATTAGCGGGATGTCACGGGGTTGACGGACGGGGGAGGCCCCTAGTCCATTCCAATTCACCCCCCAGATTCCAACTACCGATGATTACCCATGCGAGCTCGGGATCATCGCCGGCGATAGGTAGGATGTGTGCGTGTGTGCGTCTGGACCAGTGACTTGTCATCTGGAAGCGACACCGGTTAGGGATTCCACACGAAATAACACCGAACTAATCCTAAGCTCTTGGTGACGGATCAATGCGGCTGGGGTTGGATGCGACCGGCCAGATTCCCTGTCGCCCAATGTCACGGTGCAGGGTGGACAGTGCGTCCTCTAAGTTCATCCCTCCCTTACATCCTACATAGCGAGCTACTGGTCGAGTGGTCAGGTCGTACGTTATACATACCTATAGGGACTCACTGTTAATGCCATGGATCAACTTGGTCGCCGCATTAGGGCTTGAGACATGTGAGTATCGGAGCTCTTTTATCAGGCAGAAAGATGTGATAGATCTTGAGTGAGATAGAGATGATGCATAACTCGATACCGATAAAAGCTCCGTATCTGCAATACAATGCGATTGTCAACCCGAAGTGAAGCTGATTTTAGGTAGGATATCATCCTCTCTAACTACCCATCTGATTAAAATGATCCCCAGCCATAATCATTATCCGCCCGCGCGCCCTCTAATCTCGCATAATCCTTATCTGAAACACCCACATCCGTAATCAGCCTTAAAAACCTGGATAACTTGCTAATGTAGACAAGGGTTGCTCGGTATATATCCGAACAGGCTGTATATACTACTACTATAGACATGGGGATATGTTCCATCCCATTCCATTGCAGTGGTCCCTGCAGAGAAGAAGAAGAAGATGATGATGATGATGTAAAATCGAATTTCCGTACGGATGAAGTAGGTTTACCCGACTACTACTTGCTTACATACATACAGACTTAGTTACATACTTACATACAATTACTGTACCACAATGACAGAACCACCAAAGATTCACGGAATGGTAAGCAAGCACACGACCACACTCCACTTCTTCTCACCAAAACAACCACCCTGGGTTCTGGGATCCATGATGTTGCCTTCCTTGCCAAATGTATCCACTGCGGCGCCCAGACAACTTTCAGTTACTGTACCTTTTGGGGAAGAATTACGGTCCCCACGTGGCAATCTATCCTCATGATTTGCTGTTTGCGTTGGGTCCATTGAGAACTTCCCGTCTTAGCTGAATTGACGAAGGGCCAATGATCTCGACTTGCTGCGTGTCATTCTGCCGACGTACATTTTCTGTTATGCATTCTCCAGAGGACGGTGGATAATCGTATGCCGTATATGTTGCCTCGTACATATAGGCTAGTATAGCGACAATGTACGTAGTGAATTGCATGTCTAATAAGGCAACATCCACGGTGCGGCGGGAGCTTCGGCTATACTAGCGCTAGTAGTATACCCTTTCAGCTCGCCCTCTCTCATGGTTGAAGGACTTGGCCCTCTTAGTGGTGGATCAACCGTTGACAATCCACCGCGAACTTTGAACTGGTGCCTGAAATCCTTCTGGCCTGTGCTTCTCGTCGAGCGGGTTAGTAAAAACGGAGTATATTCCCAAGTACGGATATACTACGGACATCTAAGCCTCGGTCGAATGACATCTGTAATGTACCCAGTATATACTCATATAATCACATTGATCCTCAATTTAGTACGTACTCCGTAGATATGTAACAACTTGAACAACTTGAACAACAACAACAACCCCAGCATTCCGAAAATTCCCTCGTGCCGAAACAATTCGCACCGACTCGGACCGATTCCGGTCCATCCATGAGTATATTTTAACTCGAATAGGCAGCTCAAGTGAGACATGCATGCACTCGAGATTTTAAGAGTCAAGACCACGAAAATAAGCTACAAGCAAAATGCAGCGTTCTAGACTGGACTGACATGGATTGTTTGTTGTTTATTTGTCTCGTGCTGCTCGGTCAGCCGCGCATTAGGTAAACTAACCTAACCTCTTGCTCCATCAATTTGTGGAATCCACATTTGAGCGATTTTCTGCCTGTCCCCTGCAGTAGTTCATCTCTTTGCGCGCCTCGGTGGATCGAGTTACAGGTTCGTTTTTGGATACGTATATGTTTCCGTGACTGTGTTTGTTTATAATTGTTTGTTTTGTTTTTTGGTGGAAGCCGTCCGAGGGAGGTTTTATTTTTACTTTGATTGTTTTTATTTTTGGTGTTGGTGTTGCTTTGTGGATATCTTGGCTATCAATGCTGTATGTATGGTGACGGTGTCACCTTTTGCTCGTATAGATGAATGTTTTCGCGGTCTTGGCTGCAGGATCCGATGTCATGGGTTTTGTTTAAGAGAAGCAATCCCAGTCGCAAGGTCATGGGGATGGTTGTCTTTTCCCCCCTCGGTGGTGTGGATTTGTTTGGTTTGGTTTTAGGAAATGATTCCCACTGTGGCTGGATGGCCGGGCGATGGTCGTTCCTCATTGTCAAGTAAATGCATACATACATACATACATGATTCTGGGTATACAGTGATGAGTGTTGTTTGGGTCTACATGAAATTAACCACACATATACATACTCCTCGCCATCGTAGAAGATGACTAGGGAGAAGATCACCAACGCGGCTGCATGAACTACCAGTCCCCTTCGCTATCGCTACCGGGGTATGCCTTCTTGCGCAGCTTCCACAGGGACTTCTCCCGCTGCGCGGCCTCTCGTTGTTGGCTGCTGTTGTCTTCAATTACCGTCATCCAGGGTGCATTGCTGGCCCGTAGTATTCGGTCCCGGAGAATCGCAGACACCCGGGCTTGCTGCTCTGGCTCAAGGATGCTTTCCTCTTTCTCAGTGGTGGCTTCGTTCTTCTTGAGCTTCTCGAGGGACTCCCGATAGCGTCTCTCTTCAGCGCGCGCGGCGTAGTAATCTTCGCTGATGGCCCAGTTGGGGTTGTCGAGCTGGCCCCGGACGAGGACGATGCCGTGGCCTTGTTCGAGGGCGTCGCGGATCGCGGATCCCGCAATGGGGGTGACCAGTTCCAGTCGTTGCGAGGAGACGTCTATGGAGCGCACAAGAGCTAGACCCAAGCAGCGAGAGGCTTTCGGGTCGAGAGGGTTACTGCTGCCTGAGCCCACGAAGAGGTAGGGTAGGTTCTCGGTAGGCGTCCGAGCGATGTTCGCATCAATGAATGGGTTAATGGGGTCCTGAGAAGTAAATCCCTCCATCGGTGTATCGGTAGAATCATCCATGGTGACATCTACATCTGTGGATTGGGTAGAGTGGTTATTTGTTAGACCCGGGCCATCATTTTGGCCTAGAATTGCTTTGGGTGACTCCACGGCGACGACAGCGACAATAGCCCCGTCCAGAACTTCCCGCAGCAGATCAGGATCGATCTGAGAGCCCATGACCATAACGCCCTTGATACCCTGTTTCGGTCCGGCGTAGTGAACGTGGAAGGGTCTTGTCCGGGATATTGGCTTCTCTAACCACAACGGGTTGCTGATTTCGGTGGGGCGAGTCATGTGGAAATAGGATTGCATTTGCATGGAGCGTAGCTGTGCGCTGGACCGACTTACGAAGTCGGTTGGCTGCGATGGGAGAATGGTCAGAGGGACCATGGCTTCTTGAGCTGCCTGTCCGAGAGGCATCACGACCTCTGTGGGTCCTTTCTCGCTCATGTATACGACGTCGGACAAGCCGAGAGATCTAACGAGCCAAGTCGCGACTTCTAAGCCGAGGCCGAAAATCCATCCTGGATAGTTGATGATCAGTGGGCATTGGGGGTAGCTTGCCAGTAAGGCACGGTAGCGATCCATGAGATCCATGGCAGCGAGGACGTAATGGTCGGGGTCTTCTTTAGGTGATGTCGCCCCGATGTGATGGGCTCTGATGATGGTTCCCTCCTGGGAACTTTCTAACGATGGGTGGGAGAATGGAGGGCCGAAGACGGGTGACCGGAGATGCGCCAGATACACTTGTCCCATGGGGGAGAATTCTGGCTGGCCGGGATCAAGATCAAGAAAGGCGACGCCATCAGTGTTACAGTAATTCGTTTCAGTTTGCGGTGCCGGGCTGAGAAGATGGTTTAGAAGATAACGACTGAAGGTGGATTTTCCAGAAGCTTTTGGGCCACAGATCAATGCCTTTAGTCGACCTCCTCGCTGAGATAGCGATTTGATAGCTGAGCTCCATTGCTTCTCAAGATGTAATGGCCGGAGGTGCCGTTTGAAGGAATCGTCTGCGGACGTGTACAGCTACAAAATGTCAGTTTCAGTTACCTGATACCGGAGCAACGAGGTTCACTTACGACAGAGAACGTTCTCTTCGCGGAAGACGGGGCATTTTTGAGCGTGAGTTTGTCCGCTGAGGTATTTTTGCCATTCCATATCCGTCGATATAGAGGAGATAAATCCCTGAGGCGATAAATACCACTGTGGCATGACTTGACTTCAACTTCTGCCGCCCCGTCAACCCCAGATACACACTTGATCACGGGTAATGAGTGTGTAGACGGAGCATAAACTCGGTAAAGTCGTGGGGAAGGGTGTAGTTTCGCACCCATGACACTAACGACACCGCGCTTCACCCACAGATCGTAATGACCAAGCAACACCAAGCTCATCTTCTCCTTTATACGGACACACAGTGTATGTTCATCGCTGTAGACTATATTGTTCTTGTTCAAACGAGTTTTGGATAGAGGGAACTCTTGGACAGGGCCGGAAGTATCAGCGGGAGATTCGTAGCTACAGGCCGTCAGTCTCTATACCCAATTTAGCAGCTAGTACCTTAACACTTACCCATCAACATCACCTCTAAGAGGAGCGATTCCGGCATCATTCTCTCTCTCAATTGGATTTTGCTCTTCGGGTTCTTCGTCTGAAGAAGACAGATCCTCGGGTTCCTGGGGAGAGGTATGAACAGGCAATTGTTCGCTAGATTCAACCAAAGGCGTTTTCTCCTTTTTCTCAACCGGTTTACTAGCCTTTAAGCTCTCAGCTTTCCGTTTCGAGGATCGCGTTGTCCGTCCCTGGGGTTCTCCGCTGGCAGGCGGGGTTGGCGCCGCTTGTTCTGGCGAACGTCGTGCTTTCTTCGACGGTGGCTCCTGCACTGACTCGGCCTGCGAAGGTTTCGCCACAGCTACCGCAGCCTGCATTTGCTGTTGACGAGCCTTACGCGCCGCAACGGCGCTCATTGGGGCCGGTGCTAAAGAAAGTCATGTCAGTAGACTTCTTCAACGAAACCTGGATAGTACGGTGTTGCGCACCGGCCGCCTGTTGTTTTTCCGCCTTTCTCTTCATGTTTCCTAATATCGCAATGAGAATGACTAAATTCCTAGGTCATTCGTCAGCGTCGCAAAGACTGGGGAAACGATGTTGGCGGCACTTTTTTAGAAGATGATATTTGAGACCGCGGACTTTGATGGTGGTCCGTGCTTCGCGGAGCAGAAAAAAAAAAGGTTATCGCTGAGACAAGACCTACGTCGGTGTTCTCTCAATTCGTAAAGAATTTCTACTCTGCGGTCATTAACTCAATACAAACGCCAATTGTACCTGCGAAATATCTACTCTTACTTCCTAAATATTTCCTGTCGTTTGCGAAAATCGACTTTGCTCTGTAAAGCTTGGCGTTCCGCATCGCAAGCTCCAATTTTTTTTTTTCTTTGCTCCGCAATCTTTCGCATCGACGAAACGAACATACTGTTCAGACATCCTGCGAAAGACACAATGGCCCCCAAGTCGAAGGAAGTAGTCGCCTCAGACAGTAAGAGCAGTCGCTCTAGTTCTCCAGGAGTATTGGAGAAAGCGGAGGTTTCCTCGAGTTCGGAGTCGGAGAACAGCTCCAGCGAGAGCGATAGCGATAATGACAGCGTTGTCTCCGAGACGCAGAACAAGAAGAAGTGAGCATTGGCTATGCAACCTAGTGGTTTCAAATCTAATTTGCTACACATAGGTCCTCTAAGGTCTCTTCCCAAGCACCTCAGCCCTACCGGGCACCCTCTGGTTTTAAAGCAGCGAAGAAACAGTCCCCCCCCTCATCCAGTACTACCTCCCTTCTTTCCGATCTCCGCGGTAAACAAGTCTATCATATCACCGCTCCTGCGTTCTTGCCTCTTTCTAAGGTGAAGGAAATCTCACTGGGCAAGGTTATGAAAGGCGAACCAGTCATGAAGCACGAAGGTGTGCAGTACGGAATTCCAGCGGAGAGTATAACCCAGACCGATATGGGTGGGAAGGCACTTCTTTTGTACGACTCGAAATCTCAAACATATTACACTACGTCGACCAACGATATCCGGAGCTATCATGTCCAAGAGTTGATCAACCTTCCTGAAAGATCTGAGGAAAATGATACGGTGTTGGAAGCAGCCAAGGAACAGATCAAGCCTCCACGGAAGCAGCCTAAGCACCTCAAGATGCGTTTCCGACCCGTTGGAAGTGAGCAAGGACCACCGGAGACCATTGGAAGCAGCTCGGAGGAGTCGGAGGGGGAGCAGCCGACATTCAAGATGCCCAAAGAATCGCACAAAGAGAAGGAGGATAAGAAACGAAAGCACCATCAGACAGATGGGGAAGGTAGCCAGCCCAGTGCTGAGCCGCGAAAGAAGTCCAAGAAAGCAGATGGAGCAGAGAAGGCCGAGAAGTCGGAGAAGTCGAAGAAGTCGAGTAAGAGCAAGGAAGAGAAGAAGCGCAAGAAATCCGAAAAGTCTGCTTGAAGGTTATTCTAAATTCGAATTGTGCTTATTTCCTTTTACACCAAAAGTTGAATGGTATTTGCTATGCATGAAGGCGTGATGATACCTGCAATGGCCTCGAGCTTTACGGTTTTCTTTATTAGCTCTAGTTTTCTGCTCATCCTATTCTTTTCCCTGTTAGCCCTTCAGCATCTGTACATAAGGTCAAAATGTAGAATTTCTGTTGTTCGAGTATTACGTCTGGTAAACGTGTCATAGGACATACGTATGTTTAATGGCTCGAGAGACCACCGCATGTAAGGGGTGGAAAAGAAGAACTACAGAAGTAGAAAGGAGACAAATAATTAGGTAAAATGTTTGGCAATTACAAGTAGTATTATCGCTCTCAATTATTTCCATGGATAACCATGTATTTAAAAGGAGCACCATGGTCCGTGGAGTTCAAAATGTTCAATATAGTGACTACAAATGAAGTAGGCTGATCCAGGCTACCTTGGGGATTTAATGATTTAGTTGAGAGGCCCACTAAGGAGTGTCGATCAACCCGAGTCTATTTCTCCAATTAAGCATAGCCACTAAACCTCAATTATGGGGCCTCGTGAACTAATTTAGTCGTCCAACTGTCAGTGATCCATTGAATGTACTACGTACTACTACCCAAAGTTGGGTGAACTCCTAAAGTCACAGGGTTGATTGTGACCTCAAAAAAGAAGAACTAATGAACATGGAAGCAACGAAAGTTGACTACTACCTCACGGGTACTCCTTAGTATCATTGTTGGCAGTCTTTCTTGACCGCATCACCATTACTCCAAATTAATTTACCGACAGATCGGATCCTGGAGGATGACATAAGCCACTCAGGGACTGACTGCTATTGGCTCGTCCTTGGACTACAATCACATGCACCAAGTCTGATTGGCTCTCCGGTAGTTGAGGCGAACAGCTGATATGGACGAGTGACGCCAGACTCCAGACTCCGGACTCCCATGCTTCGTTCCCTTCGTGCCTAGAATTTACCTGCGTCTCGTACGCTCGTCGACCACTTCTGCTCCTCTCATTCTTTAGTCGCTGGCCCCCAGTTCGATCACCATGTCTCTCTCTTCGTGATGACTCACAACTTCCCCCGTGTCCTGGCTCTCTTCTCCGTTCTAGACGGGCCGTTGATACCATTCTAAACGGCGCTTATCGGCTCGTGGACAAAAGACGTTTTTGGTACTTCCCTTGCTTTTGTTTTTGCTCTTTTCTTTTTCCCGGTGCTCTGCCTCATTTCCTATAGCCCCTTTCTTTCCCGCTTGTTTGTTCTGTCTTGACAAATATTGATAATTAACTGATGACATGGCTCATCTAAGGTCATCTGTCGGCATAGTTCCTTCCGCCTTTATCACTCGCGCGGACAACGCACTCCCTTGATTTAAGAGAGTACACCATACTCTTGTGACCATCACTTCCCACGTGCTCGCAGTCCTGTTTAAACATCATAATCCTTGGCTTCTTTGTCGTCGTTTACGCTCTTTATTCCCTTGTCTCCAATCTAGATGCCCGACATGAAACCTCTCCTGGAAGACGCAAAGCGGCGAGTCGACCGTAGGCTCAGTGCAAGCAGACAATCAATCTCTTCTAGCCGCATATTTTCCAGTGCCTTTCCGGAGCGGTTGAAAGACGACCATGACGCCCAGGTTGACTATACCGCACCACCTCGTGGAACCGGTTCCCGAGACGGTCAACTGTCGTATATGCACCAGTCCATATTCTCAATGATTGCCGCCGTCGGCTCCAAATCTGATTTTCATGCACGGTTTGATGAATCGAGTGATAGCGAGGGGGAGGCGGAGGGACAAACCCAGAAGCAACCTGGAAAGGCTTCATTGGCGAATAAGAAGAATTCTCCGCTATCACCTACTCTCAAGCCTCAAAGTGCCTCGGAAGGACGAGGGCGTCGCCATCGAAGATCAATATCTGAAAATAAACTCTTACGATCTTTGAAGCCGAATCCCAAGAGTAGTAAAGGTACAGAAACAACTATACAAACTGAGCCTCCGACGAGTGATGAATTGTCCCCGCTTCCTTCTCCTAGGCGCGCACGCAGTGCCACTCCTCGTGCGGCTCCTATACTCAGTCGTATGCTTGAAGCGGAGGCTCTCTTGGACAAAAAGCAAGCAGCAGAACAACCTTCATCATCTACCAAGGTGGAAACCGATGGCACGTCTGAACAGTCATCTGCATCTCCGCTTTCGCTCCGACTGAAAGAGATGTTTGGGTTTGAAAAACCAGAAAAAGTACTTGTGGAGTATGCTTGCTCCCTATTACAAAACATTCTTCTCCAGGGGTACATGTATGTCACGGAGGGGCACATATGCTTCTACGCATATCTGCCCAGAAAGTCTGCCGTTACTATAAGGTCGGGATATCTTCATAAACGAGGCCGGAAGAACCCAAAGTACAACCGGTATTGGTTCTCACTGAAAGGGGACGTTCTATCATATTATACGGATCCTTCCAGTCTCTATTTCCCCAGTGGTCATGTTGATCTCCGATATGGAATTTCTGCTTCTTTGACCGAGCAAAAGGACAAAGATAAGGAAATACGAGACTTTCAAGTCACTACAGATCAGCGAACATATTATTTCAGAGCGGATAGTTCTGCCAGCGCAAAAGAATGGGTCAAAGCCTTGCAAAAGGTTATCTTCCGAGCTCACAATGAAGGTGACAGTGTCAAGATTTCCTTCCCCATTGAGAGCATAATAGATATTGAGGAGAGCCCCATTACCGACCTTGCTGAGACATTCAAAATCCGGGTGGTTGAAAGTGATGAGTCTTATGCCATTGATGAGGTACGTCTTTCTCAAGCGAATGCCATGTTGTCACTAAACATTGGGTCTAGTATTATTTTTCATTCTTCGAATCTGGTCGGGACGCATATAATTTTGTGAAAGGGCTGATCAGCGAGAGCCCGATGAAAATGTCACAACTTTTACCACCTCCACCAGAGCAAACAAGCCTCGCAAGTCGCACTCGTGGGTCTCGGAACAGATGGTCGTTGAATAGTGATTTGAGTCAATCTAGAGGAAGTGGAATTATCAACACACAACGTCAACGGAGTGCAAGCACCGGCCATACTAACCCTGGTCCCGACGGGATCGGAATGTCTCCCCGACAGCGGGATTTGTCGGATTCCTTTGTTAACTCTTTCGAGCAAGCAACAGACGCTTCAGCGGTTCTGCAGTCGATGACCGATACAACAGAATCTGCTAGCCAGATCTTGAATCGAAGTGATGTTTTCCAGTCCCCTACCATTCACACCTTGCAACAGCGGCGCTCCAGTGGGAACAGAACAGGCCGTCGGCTTTCAGACGGAACGGCACGGTCAACGCATCCCAATGCTGTTGATGTTAAAAGGAATGGGCAGGAACTGCAGTACGCTAGCAGTGAGTCCGACCAGGGCACACAGCACCCATCTAAGGTGAACTCATCTGCACCAACCTTGAATGAACTGGTCAAAGCTGGTGCTTATCCCCTCCAGCGTGCCGCCGGATTTGCGGAGTACTTGAGAAACCGGTCGAGGCAAATGAGTAATCTTCTGGCAAGCGAATCGATGGGTTACATTGAGAAAGTCTCTGGGATGTGGGCCGGTGGCCGCAGACATTATGGAGAAACTGAAGGCGTGCTACCAGATGATCAGGATGTTGATCCTGAAGACAAGGAAGATGGAGTTAAGCATGGTGATCGTTTTCGTGCCCATTTCGCCCTGCCGTCAACCGAAAGGCTGCAAGCCACCTATTATGCATATCTGCATCGTGTTCTTCCGCTTTACGGTAAAATATATATCAGCCAGAAAAAGCTTTGTTTCCGTAGCCTGATTCCGGGAACCCGCACCAAGCTGATACTACCGCTCAAAGACATTGAAAATGTGGAGAAAGAGAAGGGCTTTCGGTTCGGATACCAGGGGCTAGTCATAATAATTCGGGGACACGAAGAGTTGTTCTTCGAATTTAATACGGCAGATGCTCGAGATGATTGTGCGGTCACAGTACACCAAAGCCTCGAGTCTATGAGGTTTTTGGTAGAGTCTGGCCTACTAGCAGAACAGGAAAAAGACGAGATCGAATCAGCCCAAGCAGAGCATCGCATGCTACAGGAAGCCAGGTTAGATGGAGCTGGTGAACACGACTCTCACAAATCTGTGAATGAATCATCGGAGCTTCATCCTATTTTTGATGACCCTCGTGCTTCGATTATCAACTTCAAGCCCTCCGAGTCATTGCGCATTACATGTCTTACCATAGGTTCACGGGGTGACGTGCAGCCCTATATTGCCCTGTGTAAAGGATTGTTAGCAGAAGGCCATAAGCCTAAAATTGCAACCCACGCAGAGTTCGAACCATGGGTGAGGAAGCATGGCATTGACTTTGCTCCAGTTGATGGTGATCCTGCAGAGCTCATGAGAATATGCGTTGAGAATGGAATGTTTACATATTCATTCTTGAAAGAGGCGTCCACAAAGTTTCGAGGATGGATCGATGACCTTCTATCCTCAGCTTGGGCCAGTTGTCAGGACAGTGATCTCCTTATTGAATCTCCGAGTGCAATGGCTGGTATTCATATCGCCGAGGCACTCAGAATACCCTATTTTCGTGCCTTCACGATGCCATGGTCCAGAACAAGAGCATACCCGCATGCCTTCGCTGTCCCGGAGAATAAGATGGGCGGTGCCTACAACTACATCACTTATGTTATGTTCGACACTGTCTTCTGGAAAGCCATTGCGGGACAGGTGAATCGTTGGAGAAAGAAGCAGCTCGGACTAAAGGCGACCACTCTTGATAAGATGCAGCCGAACAAGGTTCCCTTCCTTTATAACTATTCTCCTTCTGTGGTGGCCCCTCCATTGGACTATCCGGACTGGATACGTATAACAGGATATTGGTTCCTAAGCGAGGGGAGCAATTGGACTCCTCCAACAGACCTGCTTGACTTCATTCACCGTGCCCGCAGTGATGGCAAGAAGATTGTCTATATTGGGTTCGGGTCTATCGTCGTGTCTGACCCTTCGGCTCTAACACGAACTGTGGTTGAGTCCGTCCTAAAGGCTGACGTCCGTTGTATTCTGTCGAAGGGGTGGTCAGATCGACTTGGAGATCCTTCCAGTGCAAAAGTCGAGATTCCTTTACCGCCGGAAATTTTCCAAATTCAAGCAGCGCCACATGATTGGCTTTTTTCCCAGATCGACGCAGCAGCACACCATGGTGGCGCTGGAACTACCGGAGCGAGCCTTCGGGCAGGTGTTCCTACGATTGTTAAGCCGTTCTTTGGTGACCAGTTCTTCTTTGGCACTCGCGTCGAAGATTTGGGCGTGGGTATCTGTATGAAGAAGTTGAACGTAAGCGTGTTTTCGCGGGCTCTGTGGGAGGCTACCCATAGCGAGAGAATGATCGTAAAAGCCCGAGAGCTAGGTGCACAGATACGGAGTGTAAGTCTCTGAACTATCTTATGTCGTGGTGCGTTAGCTAACACTCAAGTAGGAAAACGGTGTGGATACGGCTATTCAGGCAATATATCGCGACCTTGAGTACGCTAAAACACTGGCTCGACAGCGCTCGATTGTCTCGTCAACTCCATTCTCCCCAACACCGTCGGCTAAAACCACGGCCGAGCAGGAAGAGGATGACATGGATGACAGTGAGGAGTGGACATTTGTCGGTGACGACACTGAAATTGATGTTTCGAGACGGCTGCGCGATCGAACAGTGTCTGATGCTGATATGCTACCCGAGCCAGTTACAAGCACATCGTAGGCGGATTATCAACTTATCTTGCGATGTTGCCATCACTACTCGTGAGAAACATTTTATCGGCTCATGACTTATGATTCTGCTTATTTCTTCGCCATGGATGTTACTTTGGGTGCCCCGCTTGACTTCTGCTTAAACACTATATTTACCCATTTCATTCTTGGTGTTTTCTCTTCCGCACAGATCGCATGGATTTAGATGGCTTACGAGAGTCCCACCTCAGTCGTTTCCTTTTCCCCCTTTGCGTTAACATTGTACGTGATGACTGATGATTGTTTGGGCGATGATATACGCATGAACCGCCTTCGGCCAGCCGCTGTCCTGGCTATGGCGGCGGCCTCAACCTATATTAATTCCTTTTTGTCCATTCTGAGATAGACTAGTATAATGGCCCGGCGCAGGAAGCATAGTTCGTGCATTATTATTTTATTGAGTTAATAATCGATCCCATAGGACTAATAGAGAGCAAGTGTTGCTTATATCTACACCGATCAAGGTAGCACTTTCGTTTCATCCCAACCCTCACTATGATATACGCAAACCGAGTAAATGAAAAATCTTTTCTAAGCCAGACAAAGTCATTAAAAAGACAAAATCATGAAAATGAGCTTTAAGCACCCGAAGGACCCTTTGCCGTATCATCGTCTTCGTCGCCCTTCCCCTCCACCTTGTCTTTCCGACGCTGCACGACATCCCAGTTATAGACACGAGCCGTAGCAACCTCCATCGTCTGCGACAGGTTAGCACCGAACCACACAAATATAGCTCTAAGGCGCCGAAGTAGCACGCATATATAGAGTGAGAAAAAGAACGGAAATAGGGAATGAATACCGTGATCTGCTCCCTCAAAAACTCCAAATCCTCATCACAATTCGCCAGACTCAACTCCGCCGTGGACAACTTCTCCGTCAACATGGTCTCCGCCTCCTCAATGGGATAAGCCAACATGACATTCGCCCCCAGCCAAAGATACACCTCCTCCGTGTCCGCAGGGTCGACCGTCGCACGCGCATAGAGTGTATCGTTCAATTCGAAGTTCGTCTCCAGCGGGTCGGCGTTATTATCGCGGCGCATTTTCAGAAACTTAACCATTTCCAGCGTCTTCTTGATATCCGGGATCTTTTCACGGAGGCCCGCCGCCCGTCGTTGTGTGTTAACTTCCATAAATTGGTATTTGGAGATCATCTCTTGGAAGGAGCGGAGTGTGGGCTCGACGTCTGCGCGCGTCGAGACGTAGTCGGTTACATTGTCGACGAAGGGAGCGACGGGGATACCGCGCGGGTTGGTCTCGGGGTTTATTGTTCTGATTTTTCAGCGGTTGGTTAATTGTCTAGGAAACTGGTTTGCGGTGGTGGTTCTTGTTTTTTGGCTTGGGGTCGCATGTTTGGGGGTGGGATGGTGGAGGGGTTATGGTTTCGCCGTGGAAGTTTGATTTCTCGCCGATTTTTTGGATGTAATGACTTACGGGGTCTTTTTGTCTGCCATTGTGGCATGTCAGACTGGGGTCAGTCTGAATGAGGAGAAAGAGGAGGAAGGGGGAGGGGGGGAAAGAGGAGTAACACGTCGAGTGATAGTAGCGTTCGTTATCTTTGATGAAGCCGTAAACGCTGAAAGGTTCATGTGGGGGAGCATCTTGCCTATTTGGGAAAGGTGGCGGTACTGAACTGTATTCGCCGTAAGCTTCCTGGTTGCTTTTAGGGCTGAGCTTTAGTATGTCGTATAACTCTGGGTTTTGCTTTATTGTTGTATAACTATAGTCTTGATTTACTTTTTGCTCTTCGGGTTTCTACTGTTAGTGTCCTTGTGTGGCTCGTAGAGGAGTTTACTGGGAAATCACTTCGAAATGATATATACTACGTAAGTACGGAGTATACTCAGATGTTAGCTTAGTACCCATACAATAGAGTTTATCACAGGCAGTAGCCATTTAGATATTGTATAAATTGAAAGCTAAATTGGAATCTAGATTAAGATGCAAAGTGTTTACCAGCGATATTGCTCATTGCCCTTGCGTAAAACCTTCACTTCAAAAGAGACTGTCAATTTATTCCAGTGGTATGATAGTTAGACATAGCATGCAATCCTTAGATCGATTTCATTTGATGGCCTTGCAACATTAGCCCTCCAATGGTGAGTATTGACAGGATCTTTTTGGTACAGATTAAGTTCGAAGAATTTGTTGTGCAGGGTGCACCTAAAGTTCTTGTAATTACTTCCGCTCAGCAGTTGCCCTTCATAGATAGCACGATGTGAACGTACGAGTTCAACTTCTCAAAATTATTATCAATGAGCCACTGCTCACCAACTTCAATGAATTCCACTTTACAGAGATCTCGGCGTGGAATGAAGTACCTTCTGCTCTCCAACGGGCCGTAGTTCACTTGCTTTATCAGCTGTACTGCATATTCGGGTACGGGCGATGAAGGATCGTAATCAGAGGAGAATTCGCTCGTAATGGTCAAGTGAGCCCATTTTAGGAATTCGTTGAATTTGCTCTCCTGATCCAAAATTTGTGGCCGATAAGGAGTAATGTGTGAACAGCAGAAGTTGGGGGTAAGGGTTGAAGCCATTTTATACGTCACTGACAAGCATAGATAGTATGCCCGAGAAAAGCTGTGGAAGATATAGAGCGGAAATGCAGCAATTAGCTCTTCATCTGGGGAACACCGCAACTTATAGTACATTGTACGAGGAGTACTTCTATAAGAGAGGATGAGAACCGAAATGCTTTCCGTTACACTAAATCAACCACACCCTATCGTTTTGAGGCCTCCCGGAGTCCTACAGTCGTTCGATGCATTCCTGAAGTCTTTTTGCATCTTTTCTGCATGACAGTTGACCCAATGAGCAATATACAATCTGAGGCCTACTGTTGATCACCCACTAGTACCTAGGGCTACTGTACCTGCAATAGATGTATAAGTCCCGACCAATGAGACATCGCCGTTTTGAGGCCTACCATAGCCACGCCAACCTGAGGCATCCACCAAGTCTGGTTAAATATGGCTGCTTTGCCCTCGATCTTCAAAGCTTCTCTTCTTTCTTTTTCCTCTCCAGGGCAGTGGTACTGTCACTCGTCCGCTCTTTTACCTCTCGTATCTGATTTTAAGTTCTTGCGAAATTGTTATATTGTGCTCTTCCTCCCCTCCCCGCCGTGCACATCTCCGTGGAATCGTTTTGATCTATCCTGCAAGCTAGGCTCTGTTTACTGCTTGTTGAAGGAATCATCTGTCAAGAGAATATATAAACCTTAACCTTCTGTACCCGGAGTTTCTACTCTTATACCGAGTCCCAGATCAGATAGCGTAGGTCGGCCACCACAGGTACTAAACTCTTATCACACAACACCTTACGGAACTGTCGACCCTCGCTGGCTCGATACTGCTGACCGGACAGGTCCGGAGGCACTGCCAGAGTCAGATGATTCTCTCCATCACTTGAGCCAAGACACTCCCCCACAGGATCTTGATCAAACTCAGGGCTGGGAAGGAGAGTTTGCAAATACACATAACAATTTCGATTCGCCGCACTTAACTTTCGAGTCACTTTCGCCCCAGGCACAACATATTGTATCTGAGTTTCCGTCGGATCTCTCAAATCCAGGACAAGATACTTCCTCTACCAACCAACCGATTGATTCCCCTCCACAGTCATTCCAGTGTGACCTGTGTAACCGTGTGTTCGACAAAAGATATCTACTCAAGTAAGTGGCATTCATAAGTTGCAGACAGATTTCTGAGCCGTGTTCTCATCCTGAACAGCAAACACAAGAAATCCATGCACGATCGCCTTCACAAGTGTGACGTAGCAGGCTGTGCCCGAACAGAGGGGTTTCAGTTCAAGAAGGATCTTGAACGACACTACGATACTTTCCACAGGGAAGGAAGTCCCAAGGGTTATTTCTGTAAGCATAACTGGTGCTCCGCTTCGAAGTCGCGACGTGACCGCATGGGAAAACCGGGAATGCGGTATGACAACTTTCGACGACATATGAAACGTCACCATGGTTTTGGACAGTGACCTAGATTGAGAGACTAAATGACCATCTTAGAGAGCTGATATGCTAGAATGCCAGTGGAAATTCACCTTATTGAATTAAGCTCCAAATGATCAAGTTGCTAGTATGAATAATGTAGCTCAAAAAATATATGGTAATTGATTAGTAGAGCACTTTATAGATATAGTTACGACGCCAGCTCAACTACATGAATTACTTGTCAACTATTGACACTATAGTCTATTTGGGCTCATATTTTAATAACAACTCAAGATAATCCAATATAGTTCTCAGTCTGATGTTTATGCCTCAGCATGTTGAGAGATTTCTATTCACTGACTTCCTATCTGCAGCAGTAGTATAAGCCTTTTCGGAAATACTCGGGTGATTAACAAGGGTTTGCTCCGAGCCTGCCCGAATTCATCTGACTTGATGGAAACAATCCACATCATCTACACTATCAAGAATCAGCCAATCCACGATGCCCACCGTCAAGACTAAATGTAAAGTCGCCTGTAAATCGTGCAATTTGCGACGAGTCAAGTGTGATCGGACTGAGGTAAGACCATGTTCATACTGCCGACTAGCAGGGCAAGAATGCCAGCCCATTGTTTCGAGACGTGGAAAGTATGCTTGCCTGTCCCACTTCATCTTTACAAATGAAATACGGATGAACAACAGGCTGAAATAATCCAGGTACAAACGAAATCACGATAGCAACACTGATACTCGGCCGGCCCTTCGTCGGTCGTCACGAAAGCCTCAAGATGAACGTAACCTTATAAGTGCTGTATCAGGCGAATCAACTTCAGATGCCATTATCACCAATACTAGTAGCCCCGACTTTAGCGGTAGGAATTCTACTGCTGAAACACGGTCATGTGAGCCTTCCAATCCCCAGCCAAGTGCCCCATCACCAAGGCAAGGCTATCAATATTCCTCGACAAGCTCAGATAGTAAAGTGGTATACTACGGCGACTCCTTTAACCTTGACTATATGTTGCATGAAATGGGAGACCCTTTAGGCGCTTCCCGTAATGGTCGCACGTGGGAGGATGCACTTGAGCACTTATACTTCAGTCAGCTAGGGCAATCAACAAAAACCCAGATAGAAGAGCATTCTCGAAACCAGCGTCTGCAGCTGAGAGACATTGGCGCGCTTGAAAGTTTCGAGAAAAATATCAGTGACGATTTGATCAGGATTTTCTTTGAGATGTGCTACCCTCAGTGTCCTATTTTTGACCGAGCGGACTTTCAGCTTAAGTACGAGTCTGGGAGAGTGTCACCGCTGGTTCTGCAAGCTGTGTATTTCGTGGCCCTTAACCATTGCAGTGAGGAACTTTATAAGCGGGCTGGCTTTGCAAATAGATATCTGGCAACATTTACATGTTATCAGAGAGCGAAAACTTTATACGACATAAACCACGAATCTGACGCTATAGCGACTCTTCAAGCGATCTATTTGTTGTCTTTCTGGTGGGGAAGCCCGATGGAACAGAAGGATATGTGGCATTGGACTGGTATTGCATGTAATCGAGCACAGTCCCTGGGATTGCATCAACGGTTGGTCATTTACGGCAGATGCTGTGAGCTGGCTGACGCTTCCCCAGAAAAACCTATGTAGGGTTAAGTGAGAGAAACAGAAAACTATGGAGGCGGATTTGGTGGACTATTTACGTATGAAACTCTGGGTTAAACGATGATTTCTGCTGACTTAGTTATATAGGTACATGATATCTCTGTGACTATAATGCTAGGAAGAACTCCGCACATCAACGATGCGTACTGCAGTGTGGAGATGCTGGGCGAAAATGATTTCGAAGTATCAGACGACGACTTAATCAATTCTGATCTGCTTCCAGAACCGACTCGTGAAAGCCGGCTTTACTTTATCCACTTAGCAGAACTATATTCGCGAAGTATGTCTACCTAGTTATGCTCTCGACTAAAGCCTTGCTAACACTGCCAAAGCAAGCAAATGTTGGCTAAATATAGCTGGAGCAAAGTTCAACGAATCAGTAGTTCTCAAAAGCCTGGACGATCTTACATCATGGAAAGCGTCCCTTCCAAGAGAATTACAGCAACGAGAATCTACAGTTTCTGTGGAAGATAGCCTTTGGGCGACCCTGGTCAATCTAAGTTACTTGTAAGAAATACTTATCTAGAAGGAAATACCTCTAACAGACCTTTAGCACCGTGCAGATTTTAATACGCCGGAACGGCTTTAACGATCCGGACAGAATGAAGGTCGGGTCAGTTGTGTTTGATGCAGCTGTGCAAATCGTGCGGATATTGGAAGACCTTGTATTATCGCAACTTCTTCCTTTTGCATTGATGCGCAGGTGTGTTCTTCCTCCGCACATTCACCTTGTTAAGAGATATTCACAAAGCTAGTGCGCCGGCTGTTTTCGCCGCTCTCTCTGTCCAAATTGCAAATATGCGTGGATGCCCATCCCATGTGGTCGATGTCTCGAAGCATAGAGCTCGACTCTGCATGATGATCATAAACAAGCTGCAAGACCACTCGCCTCCACTCCTGTGGTACTATCGCCTCTTTGTACGGCTATTGCAAAGTATGGGTTGTGAGATCCTCGATGAAGAAAGTCGAGAAGCTTCACATCACTCCGATCAGCTTCTACATGGGCTGCAATCACCTACGGCTGACTTTCTCTACAACAATCGATTTGAAAATAGTTCGCAAGAGGTTGGTCCGAATGATATCTCCAATGATCCATTGACCGGCAATCCAGTGCTTTGCGACTTTGGCCTGTCTGGGATGACAGCATCGTTTGTATTCTCCAGCTTCCTTGACAGCGACCTGATTGATGGGACATCAACGGATCTTGAAAACCACAACCTTGATCCATCTTCCCTGTGAAAATATTCGTTTTGCCGCTGGAAAGAGCATTGCGACATGTGACTATAACACCCTTCATCCAAACAAAACCCACAGCTCTTATTGTACATATAAAAAAGAAAAATATATAGACAGCACAAGAACCAATCTCACCTCCGATACCACATCCTAGTCACTTTCGTCTTCCTGATCTTCTTCTGCAGCTGAAAAATCGCATACATCAAAGCCTCCGGCGTCGGCGGACACCCCGGCACATATATATCTACCGGGACCACCCGATCAACGCCCCTAACCACACTATAGCTATAGTAATAGTATCCACCCCCGTTAGCACAGCTCCCCATACTAATCACCCACTTCGGATCCGGCATCTGGTCGTACAACTGTCTCAACGCGGGCGCCATCTTGTTAGTCACCGTTCCTGCAACAATCATGACGTCCGCTTGGCGGGGCGAAGCCCGGAAGATGATTCCCAGACGGTCTTGGTCGTATCGTGGCATGGAGACATGCATCATTTCGACGCCACAGCATGCGAGAGCGAAGGTGAGGGGCCAGAGGGAGCCTTGGCGGGCCCAGTTGATGAGCTGGTCGGTTGTTGTTCTGTTTATGTGGTTTAGCTAGCGTTGTTAGAATGGTTAAGATAAATAGAAATCGTACAGGAAATATTCAAGCTTGCCGCTATCTTCTTTCTTGTTTGTGGTGATGCCTTGCTCTGGACTGGGGAGCTTGGGGACAGTGTGTGGATTCCAGGTTGAGGATTGCCGGGGTTGTTTGATCTTGACTGGTAGAGGTGTTGATCTTCCATGGGTTAAAGAAATGCATGCAGAAGCTTGTTTCCATACTTGGGGCCTCAGCATTTGAGTCCTCATCGTTGTGGTTGTTGTGGTCCACATGGTAAACCTCTGTTTGTCGGCGAAGCAAAAATGATTTGCCCTAGGGGGGAAGAGGAAAAAAAAAAAAAAAAAAAAAAGGGACGCGTCAGCACTAGGATTCGAACCTAGGAGGGCGAACCCAATAGATATCGAAAATTCGAGTCTATCGCCTTAGCCCGGTCGAAAAAAAAAAAAAAAAAAAAAGGGAAAGGAAGCAAGCAAAGTGAAGGAATATAGTGTAGTTTGCATTGGAGAGAATATATGAATATATCATATAAAACATGTTTATATCGCCGACATACTTGACACTGAACAGCATGTCGGCGATATAGTGTATGTTTTAGACCATATCGGCGATATGCTTTTTCGTATAGGGTTTTCATTCGATGGGCGAATTGTTCTGCGCCAGTCTATAACTATGAGAAACCTCTCTTTCAGCCGAAACTGTTCAACTGATATTTATTCCCCTGTTGACCTCGGATTATGCTTAAAATTCAGAAAACGTATATCGTTGAATTTACTCAACAGTGCATAGACATGGGCTAACATACGGACAACAAAACCAACAATATTACTATACGCGCTTGACGCTTATCATTGGTATTTAAACAAATTTGTTCCATTCCCGCTTCACAGTGTTACCCTACATTGATAATCTACTTCATAAAGCCCATAGAAGGATATGGCCAATAATCTATCCCATGTCAGGTGCGGGGAGACAACTGTCGATCGCGGGGACAACAATTGCACCTTCACTCTCACAACTCCCCATCTACACGACCTACATAGCATTGAAAAAGAGCACCAACAGAATGACAGCATACCCTCGTCCAGATTTTCAACGCCCAGCACTCAATTGGACGTCGCTCGATGGTCCCTGGGACTTCATCTTTGACGATGCAGACAACGGTCTATCGCAGCGCTGGCACCAGAAAGGAATCCCCGCCAACAACGCCACACACGCCAAACGTCAGATCCATGTTCCATATGCATTCCAAACTCCCGCATCAGGAATTGGCCTCCACGAGGCCCACGAGGTGCTGTGGTACGAGCGCACGATAAAAGATATTCGTACGGCGGACGAACTAGCCAAGGGGAATCGATTAGTGCTGCGCTTCGGTGCAGTAGACTATGACTGCACTGTCTGGGTTGATGGCCAGGTGGTTGGAGGGCATCGGGGTGGTCATGTGCCCTTTGAGGTCGATGTGACTGATGCATTTGGGACCGAAGAAAGTGCTACAGTAACTAGACGCCTAACAGTTCGGGTGAGAGACTCGCCGTCTGATCTTTGCCAGCCGCGTGGGAAACAGTATTGGGGTCCTGTCCCTGAAAGTATCTTTTACACACCGACGAGTGGAATCTGGCTGTCCGTCTGGTTGGAGAGTGTGCCCAGGATGCGATTGGGCAGTAGCAGTGACGGCCTGGTCCTCCGGTCGGATGATATCAAACAGGGGCAGCTTTATGCGCAGGTCGTGGTTTTAGATCGCCCGGCAGCGGCGAAGTGCCAGGTAGAGATTGAGGCGAGTCTAGGGGGCGTCGTTGTGAGTCGCAGCAGACAAGATCTGCCACAAGACAAAGACTACGTGAGTCTCAATGTGGACATGCGTGGGCCGGACCCTGGTTCGTTGAAGGAGAAGGTGCCCTTCAACGTTGACGGGTGCTGGCACAACGGAGTAGCGCTCTGGGCACCCGAACATCCTATCCTGTATGACTTAGCTTTGCGTCTGTATGATGCCTCGGGTAATTTGGTTGATGTGGTCGAGACTACCACCGGTATGCGCAGTATTTCCTGGAAGAATGGTGACGGGACCTTCCGGCTTAATGGAAAGCCTCGTTTCCAGACCCTGGTATTGGATCAAGGGTATTGGCCGGAGACCGGCTTGACGCCTCCATCGCAAGAGGCCCTGAAGGCTGACATCGAGATGGCGAAGAAAATGGGCATCAATGGGTGCCGAAAGCACCAAAAGGTGGAAGACCCTGTCTTCCTCTACTGGGCTGACAGACTGGGATTTCTGGTCTGGGGCGAGATAGCTAATGCATATGAGTTCAGTGATGACTACATTTCTCGGTTCAACAGCGAATGGATTGAAGCTGTCAGGAGGGACATCAACCATCCATCTATCGTGGCTTGGACTCCTTTCAACGAGAGCTGGGGATACCCTTCCCTTACGGATAACATCGAGCAGCGAAACCATATCCGAGCGGTGTACTACTTGACCAAGTGCGTTCTCCGACTCCCTTACTAATAATGTATACTCCTGTCATGGACTGACCAGTTTAATAGGACTCTGGATCCCACTCGACCTATCAATGACAACTGCGGCTGGGAGCACGTTTCGACAGACTTGACAACCTACCACGACTACTCGGATCACCCTGCGCTGGCCGCAACCTGCTCGGACTTCAAAAACGGAATTCTAGGCCAGAAATCGAATCGCGACATGTTCGTGGGTCCCATTCCTTCTTCTAGCCCTCAGCCCCTGGACCCCGGTACTCAACACACGCCAGGCGCTCCAGTGATTTGCTCTGAATTCGGAGGAGTAAATATCATTCCTGCGAAGGGTACCGCCGCTGGTGAAAGGGATTGGGGCTATACTACCGCAAGCAATCCGGAAGACCTGCTGAGCCGTCTGGAAAAGTTGGTGATGGCCGTCGTCAAGGGAGGACATACGTGTGGCCTGGTATATACGCAATTGTAAGTTCCTACCTTTTTTCATTTGCCTTGCTCCCTATATACCCGCATTGTATATGCGTTTCTCCGTTTTCCCAACAGAGGATATGGAGTATGACGAGCATGATAGCTAATTTACATGCAGATGCGATATTGAGCAAGAGGTAAATGGTTTGTACTCGTACGATCGCAAAGAGAAAGTTCCGGCTGCCAGAGTGAAGGCAATCATGGATGCTGCCCACAAATACTACTACGACCACGTAGCACCGAAGTAAATCTTGGGTAATGAGTGACGGGGTGAGACGAGCTTTGGTTTGAGCTTCTTGTAGACTCATCAGCAGCATGATGAGTGAATGCCAAATATTTGAACGATATAAAGTCCATTAAGTAGCTCAAAGCAAAGCACCATGGAAATCCTAGTGAGCAGACAGAAAAAAAAAAAAAAAAAACATAAACAAACCAGAAAGGGCACAAGTGCAATGGAAGAGCAAAATCATGCCTGCTAGTAGGATAAGTCCTTACTAAACTCTCCCAGAGAATACTATCTCAGAAATGTGCGTAGTACCTACCCCATGCCGAACATCTAGAAAGCACCGCTTCACATTAGGGCTACTAGCCTACACACTCAACGCGACTTAAAATCGCATATACATCGTAAATCACGAAAAAGAGCCACAATAGCTTATGGCAGTCAAAGTCGAGCGTGTGAGCATCTATCTCGATCTGATGGGTAGTTTTTCACAATTCGAGGCGACGATGTGAAAACCTAAGCCTTAGGGCTCAAGCAAACAGTGGATGCCCAAGATACTCTGTAGATATCTGGGACAGATTGTCTCAGTTCAGATCATGCGCCTAATGGAATGCCCCAGGCATTCCGATGGCTCTAGAAATTAGGGTTATCAGGATACTGGTAGTTTTGAGCTTCACGTTTATCAAACCTACTTGATGATATGCCCTCTATCATATAAAAGGCAAGCAATCAAGAGAAAATTAATCGAGGAAATATATAATTATCTCATGATTTGTTTTATTTCGAAGACAATGGACGAGGATACTATCTATGTCCTGACATGACAAGCAAACTAAATGCCAAACTAGGCAACACTAAACCAAATGCAGTAATCCCGTTCATCACATGTGGAGACTATATCGCGATTTGATACCAACAACCTTCCCATCATCTTTAAATACTTGTACATTTAAAGACATCCATCAACACCTACAGCTCAACCCTCCAACAAACCCCAAACCCCAAACCATCGACCCACAAAATGTCATAAAACAAACCACACCCCTACACAACAATGGTCCAACTAATAACAACCACCCGCATCCTCTCCGCCCTAGAAGCGATCCCAACCTCAGATCGCAAAGACCTCGATCTACCCTCCAACCCATCACTAGACAGTCCCATCACCCACGACCAACTAATCCGTCTATCCCGCTACTTCCGCACCGAAAATGCCACCCCCAACGCTGACACCCGAAGTCTCAACTCCCTCCTCCACGGAACAAAAGTCTACGTTCCGCCTCCGCCCCCGAAACCCGAACCCGTACGTTCCTCTCCCATCTTCACCTCCTCCAAATACCATACATATCACAAGCCACTACCACTACCACTTTAATCAATACGTACATATCTAACTAATAAATATTCAGAGCCCAGAATATCTCGCCCTAAAAGCGCGTCTCCTAGCCGCCTACGAAACAGACACCTACAACCAAATGACGGCCTCATCTAACACCACAAATGGCCCATCACCGATCTTTACTTCCTCGACACCGACCGTTTCGGCTCTCCATGAAGACGATGCACACTCGGACGCAGATTCTCTTACCCCCGGACTCGTGCTGAATATTTTTCTTTCGGTTGTTATTACCGGGTTCAGTGTTTATTGGGCGTTGACGAGCTTTTCGACGCCGGAGTTGTTGACGGAGGCTGTTTCGTCGGTTTGGGACCAGAACCAGGGGTCGAAGAGGGGTGGAGGTGTGAGTCAAGCTGTGAAGGTGCTTGTGTCGTTTGGGGCTGCGGTGGGGGTGGGCGTTGCTGAGGTGGCGATTTATGCGATTTACCTGGGGAAGGTGGAGCGGGCGAGGAAGAAGGAGAGGGGAGTTAAAGAGAGGAAGGTGGTTGTTGGGAGGGAGGTTTTGGGTAGGAGAGATGAGAGTGAGAGTGCGCAGCGAGTGGATGGGGAGAAGGAGGAGATTTGGGGAAGAGGGCCGAATGGGGGCTTAAGGCGGAGGGTGAGGGAGCGGTGGGAGGAAAAGGAAAAGGAAGTGGATGGAGATGGAGATTGATTGTAAGTTGCCGGTCCGCCGGTTCTCTGTTGACACTTGAACAGGATGCATCTGCATGTTCTTGATACCCCTCGGTCCGAAAGGACTGATTTGTATGATACGTTTTTGTCGACCCAAAGAAAAAAAAAAAAAATGAAATACACCTTTTTTTGAAACGATTTACTCCATCTGATTGCTTTCACCTACGTTCATCAACATGGACAGAAACATTTTTGACAAAACATTAATATTGGTATTCATATTCCCTCTATATTAAAACAAAGAAAAAAAGGCTTAACAGAAATGCTACATCATCGCTCAGTCTATGGCGCTGATATATGCTGTGCTGCTGTCAGCTCATTAGTGATCATCAGTAGCGTGGATATCTATGGTCATCAGGTATGTTTTGTGTTTTTGGTTGTCGTCGGAAATGTGCGAGTGGCTGTGCGTTGGTCAACAGCCCGATCGAAGTACGGGAGCACAAATGAAAAGAATCAAACCCGTTTCTCTAACAGCAATGTGCCGGCTGGAGTCTTGCTGCTGAAGCCGCCGTCTCGGCTGAAGATCTTCTCGCCGCGCAGCCACGTCTCACGGACCATGCCGCGCAGGGTGCGACCCTGGTATGGCGAGCACTTGTTCCGGAAGAGCATGGTGCTAGGCTCCACGACCCACTCGGCAGAGTCGTCGAAGACACAGATGTCGGCGTCAAACCCGGGGACGAGGTCACCCTTCTGGCGCTCGAGTCCAACCTGTGCCGCGGTGTTGGCACAGCACAGGCGCACAATGTCTTGGAGGGCCCGCTTGGTGTTGGTATCCTCCGGAGCAGAGGTGAGACCCTTCCGACGGCTGAGTTCTGTCCACAGGATTGGAAGACCCAGACCGACAGAAGAGATGCCGCCCCAGGCGGAGGAGAAGCTACCTTGGTTCTTTTCGATAGCGGCTTCGCCTTTAGAGGTGCAGCTGCCTGGAATATGGGAGGGAAGGAGCTTCAGATCCGGGGTGCACGGGGAGTGGTCCGAGACGACAGTCTTGATGACACCATCCTCGGCGTGGCGTTCCAATTCGGCCCAGAGGGCATCCTGGTTGAGCTGTGAGCGAATCGGTGGGCAGCACTTGTGGCGGGTATCACCGTCCCGGATTTCCTCGGCCGCCAGGGATAGATAATGGAAACAAGTCTCTGCAGTGATGGGGATTCCATCTGCACGGGCTTTCTTCAGGAGAGGAATAGCCTCCATGGCCGATAGGTGGACAATATGTAAAGCAAGCTTGGGAGCCAGGTGGGCCAATGAGAGGATCTCTTCTACAGCACAGGTCTCATATGAGGAGGGACGAGATGCCAGGAAAGTGGAGTATGCTTCCGCGGGGCCTTCGGGGGTCTGGGGTTGGTCCGCCTGGGAGGATGTGATGGGGGGTACCATTTCCGCATGAAACATGAGGGTGGTGGGCTCATCGGCAAGTTCCGCCATGGCCTTACGGATGTCTTCAGAGGAGACAGCGGGGAATTCGTCAACCTATAACGGTAAGCACGGAAACTGGCAGAGGGAACACTGGCATACTTACCCCACTGTCGATGAGGAACCCCTTGAAGCCGCGGACACCTTGGTTGACGAGGACCTTCAGCTCGCCAGCATTGCCGGGGATGATGCCGCCATAGAAGCCGACATCTACCCAGCACTTGCCTTGAGCAGCATTCAGCTTCTCCTTGAAGCCAGCTACGGTGGTGGTGGGTGGGATGGCGTTCAGAGGCATGTCAATGACGGTGGTGACACCGCCGAAGGCAGCAGCCTGGGTTCCTGTGTAGAAGCCTTCCCATTCGGTGCGGCCGGGCTCGTTCAGGTGAACATGGGCATCAACCAAACCGGGAAGCAATACATGAGGCGAATAGTCGGTATAGGGAGTTCCCTCAGGGAAGTCAGAGGCAGGAATGACGGAGTCGAAGACCGCAGTGATCTTTCCAGTGGTGCGAGAGATAACGATTGTGGCTGACGTTAGACGACCCGAGATGACGGCTCGAGACGACGTTACCACAGCAATAGAGGGTAATTGTTGCGTCTCCATGGTCAAGAAGGGTTATCGATAGGAGGAGAGAAGAGAGATAAGGGGACAAAGAGAAGAAGAGGAAGAGGAAGTGGGAGAGAGGAAGAGGTCGAGGAGGGGCCCAAAGAGGGTGATGACAGTGAGTGGACGAAAAGATAACGTCGAGTTCAATGAACTGATAAGAGGGGAGTTTCAGAACGGTTTGGGAGGCAAGGGATCCTTATTTGGGAAGTCTTGAAGGTGGGCTGATAAGAACCAAAAACTCTCACAATGAAGAAATGCGATATGGGAGGGCAGGCACGATATCGCAATCCGGGGTATCGATAAGGGTTTTATAACCATTTCCCATCATCTCCATCGTCTGTGGGAGCCCTTAGTGCCTTTTTTTTCAGTCCCCGAAATTTAGCCACGTCTTCTCCTCGAACGATAACAATACTGATCGAGTAATAATCGGAAAGGGGAAAAAAAAAAAAAAAAAAAAAGAAAAAAGTATAAAAGGGGGATCCACTTCACAGACAACCGGATCCACCGGTGCCACCGGAACAGTATCAGAGATTCGTCTTACTCGATTGAAACCCCGATAAGCCTTTCTGACTGTCGGTGTACTCAAGTAAGTCTCTCAACCCAACATGATAAACGCATCAGGCGACATATTCTCCCTCATCGTACGGAGCTTTGTGAACAAAGGGAAGCTAGAAGAATCCATGTGACCCTCGATACCCTCACTATTACCGATTCGGGTATTCGGAAAGGTTCTTGGTCGCCTCGTAAAATCCTGTCTGGGTCTGGGTCCTCGCCAGTCTGACTGCTCCCCCTCAACCCTGGTTTTGCATCGGGCGCCTCCGGCATCCGCCATCGGCTCGCTCCCTGCAATTGTTTTTAGTACCTGTCTTTACTCGATCAAAATTGGTCACATTTCCCCTTCAGGAATTTCCTTTACTCGATGGCTTCATGTAGTTGGACAGTGACCTCGGAGTCATATGTACCACGCAGTGCGGACAATCGTTATGCAGGCACTCCGCATGCGCGTGAATGCTTCCAATCTCTCGACCATTCGGCTAAACATTCCCTTTGTTGGATCGGAGGCCCCCGTTGGACACACCGCGTCTCTCTCTTATTATTTCAACTTTGACGACGAGGGGCCAGTATTCGTTCCTCCTCACTAAAAGTAGATCCCAGGTAGATCCTGGACAACAAATCAGGGGAAAACTCATAAATTACCCGGGACTTACCTGTACATTGTAATACTTACTTCCGAGCCAGGACCTTGTCAGAACGCCACCCAGCTAAGCCTTCTTTTGCTTCAGGGCACACCCAACTGAGAGAAGTCCGTACCTGTGGTCGGACCACGCCACCCAACGCCGTTTCAAGGCAGTAAATACTATACTGTGTAGAACCTCCCAGCACCGCATCAGAATGATGGTGCATAGTGCTAAGATGATCCTCAACGGCGAGTTGTTGTGCAAATAGACCTGCTAATTGACTTTCGAGTATCCACTTTTCGGACGAATCGAAGTTCTGATCGTATACTAACAGACAGGGATTGACTATAAGTTTAGTTCCTGTCACCAAGAAAAAGAAGCAAAAACAAAACCAAGGACTAAGATCGAGTCTTTCAATCTGACATCAGTGCCCGATTCAGCCTCAGAGTTGTCGATACCTAACTGGTCCAGTAATGAATTCCTATCGCCGATAGGCCTTCTTCGATCGTGACATTTCTCTAACCAGTTTCGGTTTCGCGTCACTTGTAATAGCCATTTGTTCAGGCTTCTATATAAGCTTTGTTCTGGCGTCATCTTGTCAACTGTTTACCTGGATAACGACACAATAATAGTCGAAGGGGGAGGGAAGCATGGAAATGAGCATCGTTAGCAAGAAGCGATGATATGCTGGATGTCTCTCTTCCTTCTCGACAACGGAGAGAAATATTACAACCCGATCACGGTCGCCCGTGACTTTCCTCTCTGGGTTACGCCAGGTAACCGCTGACGTGCAAGTAGCCCTACATAGCCCTGTTTTCCCTATTATATACACTATCTCAATTTTCTGTCTCTCTAGAACCATGAGACAATATCGTACTACAAGTCGCAATCAAGATTCACCATGCATCATCCCCACCAGAACCCTCATCGCATCCCCCTCTCTGCCCTCCGGCACAAAAACATGATCGTGGAAAAATCCACTGACAACGTTCGTGCTGATTCCGTCCGCGGCCAAGTTCGTCGATATCGTTGCGATGAGGCCCACGGCTTCTAGGCTGGAATGCACCTTTAATGAGATCTTGCGGCAGGGGAAGGTGTAGTTGTCGTAGTTGTGGGTTTCGGCGATGGCTTTGGTGGTAATTAGAGTCAGGCCTTCGGATTCTTGGAAGATCATTTGAGGTTGGAGGGTGTGGAGGGGGAGGGAATTGAGGGGTGTGGTGGTTGTGAGGAAGACGTAGGTTTCGGGGTCGAGCATCGGGTCCATTGCTGAGAGGAGGGTGGGAATGTTTGTTTCGCCTTGAGACATTTTGGTGGTGTAGAGAGATTTTGTTATTCAAGGTGGGTTTGGTCTGGGTTGTTGATGTTGTTAATGGTGGATTGCATATTCAAGGGGGGGGGGGGGGGGGGGTGGTGTAATTGATCAAATTGTTAGAGTCTAAATTCGAGGAATCCCGCTAATTACTAGTAGTAGTTCTGATGGGAACGAGTCATTGACGTTAAAATCAAATTCTTGTGAGTTAGTAGAAGCGTCATGTTGACACCGCATATTGTTTGCATCCTTTGAACTAAACCTCTCTCTGCTTTCCGGAGTAACAACTACTTAATAACTACCTAATGGTTGGCCACTAGTTGTCTGTAAAGAAGCTGAAGTTCAGGTCTCGTCATAATAGCCATCCCATTACCCACCAGTCAGTAACCTTGCATAAGTCCCTAGAACTATAAGGCCAAACCAGCTCCTCAAAACGGACAGAGACCAGGCGAAACTCATTCATTGCTTTCATCCGAGCTCAGAGTTTCCGAATCGCTATCATTCATCTCCCTCAGCCTCAGCTGAGTCTCATACATGGTCGAATCCGCATGTGCTAGATTCAGCCACTCAAGCATATGCTTCCAAGCGCGCGGCATGATACACTCAACATGCTGCATCTCCCCAGACGAGTAACAGTTGCAGCCATGCCGACGGGCACCCGGGACCAGATAACCCCGTGGCTCGTCGGAGATAACATAGGCACGACAGCGGGAGGAAACGAAGGCAAGGAATGAGCCCGAGATCTCATCCTTGACTGCCAGTTCAACGTCAATGGAGTGAAGGGGGTTGGTAAGGACAATGGCAGATATGTATCCGCGCCAGTCCTCCCCTGTGTTAAATCGATTTTTATATTTAGCCGTGGTTCAGACGGATGTTAATACAATAGCGCTTACATTTTAGAGATAAGTGACGAATTGCGCCCTGCCCCCCTTCAGCGATTCCAACGACGTTAATTTTGGCATCGTGGCGCACCAAGCGTCCGCGGTCAGCTAGGATTTCATCAAAGACACAAGAGACGTGATCTTCCCAGCAGCCATTTCCAGGGATTTTGTTTCTATGGGTCATCATCAGGGGAGGATCGACGGCTGAGGGACGAGGATAAGCGAGCCAGGTCGGCAGGGTCATCGGGCGACGAGCACCGCAATGCCAAATTAATTGGCCTGTATTTGCCAGCACCAGAGCAGTGTCGCTATGTTTGGGGGCGCACTCAGTGTTGGTTCCATCTTCGTTGGTTTCGGGGTGAAGGACGGCTTTGGCAAACGAGACAGCGGAACCTGCATTGATGCCATCCGCACCTATGCTTCGATACGCCCAGATTCCAAGGTCCTGTACTGGCTCTCCGAAAACGACAACGATACGAGATGCCGTGGATAGGTTAGATGACACCAGGATCGGAACGTGAGCTTCATTCACCTTGGAAGTGAGAGGAAGACGCAGGGTAGTAAGGTTGAGCTCCCTTAGACGAGAGGCCACAATCTTGCGAATGCACTCTAGAGTGCGTAGGAGTGTTAGACATAGGCTGTAAGGTAATCTGGGCAAGGCAGATATCTATATCTCGTCTCATCAGGACGTACCACTCATCGCCTCTCTCTGCATTTCGTTGACGCGGGAATTTTTGTTGATCTTGTACTGAAAATTCTCTTTAGGATCCACGATCTTTCTGATCTGATCGTTCTCATTGATGAAGTATCTAGTTGTCATTCTTCGTTTAGTATTTGGTCATGACCGTAAAGGAAGTCTCGTGTCCATACCCTAATTTCTCAAGGTCCGCAGGAAACTCGTTCTCGGGTGGGAGGTCTTCACGACGGTAGACAAACATCTTGCTGACTTCTTGTTCTTTTTATTGTAAGGAAAGACAAGGGAGCACAGGATTAGTGCTATGATGAAAGGGGAAGAAATGAGAAGAGAAGGCATTTCACTGAGAATAAACGTACTGGAGTTGATTAGTCGTAATGATGCAAACGCATGAAACGCAGTGAATCAGACTACAATTTGAATACATTCATGCAAACGAATATCCATTGTTAGCCATGAACGCTCGATCACAGGGCTTGTACTACACATCATGATATGGAGCTTCTTTGTATGCTTGTTAGGCCTTCGCTTATACTCTCTAGACATAAGATATCTCTATCAGAAGCATCCTGGAACTGCAATATGAACACAGCCGTCAAAAATATGGTATTCGATGTACAGAACGAAGACGGCTGCTTAGGCCTTAGAGTTCAAGTACATGGTAGTGGAATTGCGATAGTACATCGAGTAAAGACTGCCATTCAAGAACAGGTTAGGACGAGATCTTAGAAAAGCATGTATACTGTTATTGTGAAAGTGTACTGTTGACAACTAGAGACACACATTCCTTCACCTCTAAGGTGAATCTTTGTCCATGGGACTATGACATGAAGGAAAAGACCAGGAACGACGAGTCTATTCACTAATGAATATAAGACTAGAGTAAATGTGGGTTACCTGATGGTGCTGGTTTTGTCCGTGTACAGCCTAGTATAGCACATATTTATGAAAGATAAAGTCAAGACCTATAATCTGGTGGAAAACATATAGACTCGACTTTTTACAGTATACCTCATTTCTGGAATACTTAGCAGACGGTAGCGAGCACTTGATATAAACAAAGAAGTCGTAATCCGCGAAGAAACGTCCACACGTATCGTCTATTGAAACCCGGCAGTTGATATATTGTACATCTTTCTCAAAAAAAAAATATAGAATTAAACGCCCTCGTGTAAACCGGCTGATCCAGTAGCCATGAACATAATAATAACAATCCGAGGTATATGGATACACTACCAACTGGCCTTCTTCACACCAGGTAGTTCACCAGCCAGTGCCTGTTGACGGAATTGGTACTAAATACGATGTTAATCAACGCCTGCCACTCCATTAAACGAGTTCGGAGAAAGCTGCTTACTCTAGCAATTCTGAAGTCACGAATCACACTTCGAGCAATACCACCCGCCACACAGCGGTTTTTGATCTGAGTGGGCCGGGTGTAGGCGTGCATCTGGGAAAGCTGCAATTGAGCCTGGGCACGGGTACGTTGTGGGAGGGAGGTGTTGCGGATGATGTAACGGAGAGCTTGACTATAAGCACAAAACCAACTTATTAGAGATAGGTCCCCAAAATCCTGGTCAAAGTGGAACGCGACAAGGTCAAAAAAAAAATGCCGACTTAGCATACCGTTCAGGCTCGTGCTGCTCGAAAACCTTCCGCTTAGTGTGGTCACGGATGACACGGGCGTTGATAAACCCGCTAAGGTCCAAGCGCTTGGACCTGAAGAGCGACATGCTGTATTTTTCCGTAGCTGGTGAACTGCAAGAGTCTGGATGTCGGCACTCGATATCTTTTGATGGTAGTTGTGATCAGAGTTCTGAGGTCACGGGAAAATACGCTTTCCCAATTTAGATTAGTGTTACTCTGCCATACCAGGTAATGAGACAAGGTGCCGGATTGGCTAGGTACTCACCGCCTTTCTTTAATAAGTACTAGTAGTACCTAAGTGTTACTATTAACTACTATGTGTGGTTGAAAAGGTACGGTCTTATCAGGTTAGTAAGCAGGTAGATCTCTGATAACCAAATACCCTAGATTAATTAGAAGGCCACGACTTTTTGGTAAGATTCTCACATTTCGGAGTTTTGTTTGAATTCTGTATAGAAAATCGAATTGGCTACCGAGATTGGTCTCGACTTGCGGAGGGGTTCATCTTCCGGGGTCTTATCTCGCGAGGTATTACAGTATAAATAAAGTGGTATTATGCTTCCAATACAAAATCGGCCATCAACCGCACGGAGCCTCCTTACAAAAAGAAAAGAATATCCTAATTACATTACTACCGCGAGTGCTTTATAATTAGTCAGTGTGGCCGAGTGGTTAAGGCGATTGACTGTACGTATCCTAATATATATGATCTGCGAATCTCTATACTAATATCTTCATAGCGAATTTCTCACATTCGGTATCAAATTCCATTCGTGGGCACAGTCGATTCCTGTCGCTGACGCTCCTTTCCTTTTTTTGCTGTACCCTCACTTTAGGAAGTGTAAACTGGGACCCATACTATCTCCGACTAGTACCTCGGAAGCTCTGCCTATGGAGCTGTACCAGTGTCGATAGTCACGTGATGTCGATTAGATCGATTAGATCTAATCACCTGATGATAGAAACACTTGCCTCCGTACTCAGAGCATTGGAGGCAGTTGGAGCTTTTATCTTTCTAAATTAATGATATAAAACATTTTGGAAAATCTTGTAAAAAATGGCCTTCACGTATCTAAATACTTTAAACTTACAACCAGCTCAGTCTAAAGATTTTAGTTCAACTGGATGTTGTAGTCGGAAATGACCTTTTTGCACCACGTGGTCACATACTCGCAACCCCGCTCCCCAAGCTGTACGGAGTCAGATGCTGGTGGAATCAAGCCCATTTGTCCAACTGGTATTATGCTTGTCAGGTTATGAGGCCTAGGTCTGAAACATTCTTAAGCTTTTTAAATCATTGCTTTGATCTAACGAGGCTATTTTTCTCATTACTCTGCAGAAATGCCAGATACTACAAGCCAACCATTCAACCAGCAAAATGCTCTAATCAAAATGACTGAGAGCTCACCGAGCAGCTCTACTCGCTAGGTTGGATTCATTCAGGTCGATTATATTCCTGCCAAATACCCTGATTGCATTGATGCTGTTTCTTAACACTTGAAAATTTGCCTCAATTTTGAACTTTGAGAGTTATGTGACAAACACACTGTAAACTCACTATCTAAAAATGCTTATGGATTCAAAATAGCCTTGCCCCTCAGCTGAATCGGTTGGAACAGATCTTGCTGGTTCTAGAGAGTTGGCTTGGTCTATAGATAGAACCCTCTCTCGTGCAGGAGCTACTTTCCACTACCGACTTTTATATATTCGACCGAGGCAAACGACTCAATAAGGCACCTAGGTCTAGGATGTGGTGACAAACTTACCCGAACTGCTCATATGAAAGCTTTTAAAACGAATCGTATATCCTATATCTCGATCCCCAGCATGTTAACGATTATCGAATTTCGATTATAATTTTGGATAATCTATGCTGTGCGATCTTAATACCTGACTGCTTCTGCGGCTCGGCGTATGCAGAGCCAGTCCTCACCCTTCCAGCCATATGTCTGCGTCCAGGTACTCTGACTAATTAACTGGCCACTGGGAATATAAAGTTTAATAACATAGAGGGGTGAGACGATGTGACTACGGAGAATATAGTAATTGCAGCAGATGGTTACTTATTCTGATGTAAATGGTGGGTGTAATCTAACTAACCGTCTTAAGCCGATTGATAACACCGTGGAACGGGTTTTTAGGGAGAATATGGATATTGCTGAAGAGAAGAACGTGTATGCCTGCCTCTTATTACTACGTATGTGGGCTTGAGTCTGGACTACCTACCCGGGCTGCTAGTATAGAACTGAACTTTTCTTCAACTACCGCCACTATAGTAAGGGAGAAGTATTTCTAAAGCTCTGCACTGCTGCCACGGAAAGAAGGCAAATGATCTTGATCAGCGAAACGCATTGGGAGAATCGGCTACTTTATCAACCCGTGGCTCATTCTGGTTTAAGAAAGACACCTTGATTGAAAAGTCTGCTCAGGGCCATGGAGCTCCACACTGCCTTTCTCTCAATCTAGAGCTTTATTCAGATAATTGGCATCCTCCTATTAAAAGTATTTTGCGCATACTAATACCAGGTGACTTAGTCGTCGAATCGACTACTTTATAAAGCCATTGAGTGCAATATAGGGCGACTGAGTACATTTAGGACCAGTTCTTTAAACCACTCAACTACCAAAATATCAAGTAGTATCGGAGTACTGCTAGGTTAGGAAATCAGGTTTTATTCAGGGCATGTTGACAACTTATACGCTCTAGACCGTGTTTTAGGCCTAGCGCACAATATCTTTGTTTCCGATGTGTTTTTGTTCTCAATTACTTGCTTTAGGCAGTGTATATAGTGCTTTCAGGGCGACCTATAGATATCTAGTAGCTCATATTAGGCAGTCAGGGCCGCTGAGTACCTATAGGTATAGGGGTCACATACTTTGAACCCCCCACTGCAGATATAGGTCATAATACTTTGTTCGTTACCTGATCTGACACTTTGTCATGATATCATTAATAAATTCTCAAGTGCCCCTTTGTCCCACTAGTCCCGAATAGGTCTGTATACCATGTCCCGGATTGATCAGCTGCTCTTTCTTCTCTCGGTTTTGATGCCTTTCCCTCCTTTCATAGAACCCCTCTCCTTTGATATTTCCCATCGCCTTTGATTCCTCTCATCTCATGTAATTTCTCCCTTCACAAAGACCTCACAATTGATCTCTAAATCTTCGAATATCTAGATCTTTTCTTCCTCTTCTCCCTCTGTTTCCTCTCATCCCATGTGGTTTCTTCTCTCACAAAGATCTTACAATTGATCGCTAATATTAAATCTCTAGATCCTTTCTTCCGCTTCTCCCTCTTCGTGGAATCATCTCTTTGGCAGTACTACAATATGACTTCCCGCAATGCGTTTAGACGTAGATGGCCTCGTCGCAAAGCACCTTGCTATAAGGAGGACGAGGACGAGGACGAATTTCGGGAAGTATCAGGGCCCGTCATTTGCTGCAACGACTGTAGTAAAATAACGACTTCCAAACATGCCTGTGACCCAGTTTGCAAAACATGTGGCAAACATTTTTCTCCAGGATCTGGATGTCCCGATCTCTGCGATGCCGTTCCTTGCTGCAGATGCTGCGGTCAAAGTACATCAACTCTCAACACAATACCTATATGCCCTTTACCTTTCTCTAACAATATGGACTCGACTGATCCCAATGGGCTGCCAGTCCTGCAGGTAGAAACACAAACCCCCATCCCGTATATAGAGTTCATATGTATTAATAAGGTCATCGTTTATCTAGATCATTTTCCCCGACTTGAAATTCGTTATGAAAATACTCGTCGACTTTCTATTCTCCAATAGAAAGATGGAATTTGGGTTTAATCCTACTCCATACAGAGTTGTCATCGAAGCTGTTGGCGGCTCAGACACATTCGTGGATATGGTATATAACACGATCGACCCAATGATCAGAGCTTTGCAGGGCAAAGTTCTCACCGTTGACATGTATGTCATATCCCTTATTTAATCTAGAGTCTGACCCACAGTCTACTTACATACACTAGGCTGCATAATATCCGATTAAAACAGGCCATGGCTCCAAGAACTTGGTACGAACCCAACGGAGGGTATCTAGATTTTGTTACCTATATTCAGAGCTCTGAGTATTGGCGTCCGTATGTCGGACAATCTAACCAGCCAATAGAGAGAATACCACAGCATATCAGGGCTATTCATAATGGTTCGGAGAACAGCGTTCATTATTATATCATTAAGCAAGGCAATGGTTCACGGCGTGCTAACTTCATACGACTATGGCCTATACCTTTCCCACCCAATACTGACAAGGCAGTAAAAATGGTCTTTGAAAATTTCTTAGAAAAGATTATGTGTCGAGCTTTCCAATCACTTCCTGCAAAGACATTAGAACTATTCTTTGGACCATGCCCGCAAGGCCAGTACTCAGGGATGGGTTTGAATATCGTGACTCCTTTGCTCCAGGGGAAAGAACTGGGTCCTCAAATCCGCCATAGACTTATACAATCTCTGGAAGATTCATCAGACCCTGAGATCCACAATTGGCCAAAAATTCGAAATGGTTTAGATTATAAGACTGACCGGCAATCAGTGAAAGAGAGGCTACCTTACAGGAAGCATATGAGTGTAAAGGACTACTACGCTGCCCTTTACCAAGCAATTGAGAGCAATGCGAATCTCAAAGAATCCCTCTTGATACAGTTAGATGACAACTCTTGGGGAACTTTCGAAGGGGAGCTGCTAGATATTGATTCTTGGTTTCAGTCAATATCAGCTAAAATACGCCAACAAGAGCCGACATGTCAAGCTGGGTTCATCGCTCCAGTTGGAACTATCGAAGCCTCTGTTGGTATTATTCTCGACCTTACACCGTTACGCGAATACAATGTTCAGGATAGAACTGTCAGTCTACCGTGGGGCTTACGAGAGAGTGGCTTTAATGAGTTAAACTCTATAATCTGGATGTATAATCTCCAGAAATATGTTCATATTCCAGGTAGCTTTCAGGTTGCTCCCCCTCGCCCCATTGACAGGGAAACTCTCCGTACAGCTACCAGGCAATTGATCCTCGGCAGCCGATTACGTGTTATCATCATATGTGGTGACAGTGCTCAAGAAGCAGCCCTCCCAGACAACGCCCCGTTGAAGAAGGTGACATTATCTTTGGCAGAGATGGAGCATGATGCGTGGATTGAGATCAGCCAACATAAAATTACAAGGATCTTTATCCGTGCGCCCGCTCCTCTCTCAGAATTGTGGACTAAATATGGGAAGGAGGCATTTCAATTGACGAACGTTTTTCGGTTTGTGTCTGCTATCACCGACCTTACAATTTTCCCATCCTTCTATGAGTCTGCTCTTTGTGTTTCCTTAATTGCCCGGAAATGGGACGATGAGAACAATAGTAGAATACCTAAGGCTGAACCAACTGATCTCGAGCCGTTATTGAGGGTTTGGCTCGCTGCGAAAGGGTTTAGCTATGAGAGTGACCTTCGCCGCTTGGCAGAGGCTGCTGGTGGCTCCTTACGATATGGGATTTTAGTGCTTAGTCTCATCCTTCCAAGAAGAAAGATATTGCATCAAGCCAAAAGATTACCAGACTCGAAGATACGTCGGCGTGGCGCTACTGATCCTGAGGTCCTTTTCAAAGTCAAATCGCTTTTAAAGGAGCTTAGTCCCCAAAACGAAGGTGTAGACGCTTCAAACGATGAAATCCAAGAGTGTGAATGCGATGTTGATGAGATTGTGTGCGATGATACATTCAAGATTCCTACTGAAGAAGAATCTGCCTCTAACACCAGTCAAGATCTAGAATGTATTCTCAGCGCAGACACGTCTCAGAAAGAAGCATTGATCCAACCCTTTACAAACCGACTAACTTTAGTGCTAGGCCACAGATATGATGGCCGCTGGGAACCAAGATACAAGTCTTGGACGGCTTTTATTAGGCATGGATCGATCAGTGTTAAGATGGAAGAAGAGCCTAAGAATGGATGCTGGGTTCAAGCTGAGCTATCGCCCATTGGAACTAGACACCCTCAAGTATGGGCCAAAGCAACCAAAGACCAGGATCCCGGTTCTCGCCTTGCATTTCGTGTCTCAACAAGGAGCGCAGATGGACATGAAACGTCTGTGATATATCCCACTATCAATACTATAAGAGGATGCTTCAGAGCAAACACTCTTGTGGATGAGCTTAATGGCGATGACTATCTCCAAATATGTCAAAGGCCTCGGAGATTTGTGTACATCGACCCAAGGAATAAATCGTTGCTTAACAGTTATCCGATATTACAAGCTTTCATCAATGGTGCCTACATTGACGATAAGGGTATGGTAGACCCTAGGAGAAAGCGGGCTCGGCCTCCAAGCAACCCAGTGGTGGATGAGAAGCCTGTACGAAAGAAGAGCAAGCTAGAATGATGGCAAATATTACGAGAGGAGGATTCACAAGAGATGATGAAACAAGGACAAGGCTATCTCCAAGTCTCCAGTTCCTGTTGTCCGCGGCTAGCGTATTAACATTACTAAAAGTGAACCTGAAAGCTTTTTATAAAGATCTTAATTTCTTTTAAACCCAGTACTGCTATAGAACACTTCTACCATTCTATTTTCTTAAATCCTAACTGGGCTAGTCTTACCACGGCATCTGGCTATGTACAGTATCTCAATGGAAACACATACCTGGACTACAGTAAGGGTACGAGGATCGGTAGACATAATAAAATTGTAAAATTATATGAAACGCATAATATTTGGGAGGTATGGATAACAAGCTATGCAATGTCTGGACAGTTGAGATAAGCAGACTAGAGAGAAAGCCTTCGTTAACCCTTGCGGGAGGTAGGTTAGGTTGATATCGTATGTGTGCTCCTTGACGAGCTAAATATTATAGAAATGGAATGTCTGCTCTATTCATAGGACTTTAATCCCATTAAGTATCCCTGGGCACCGATAAGAGCTAAACTATATTATTTACCTTAGGATACAGGAATATATCTAATCAAGACAATATATAGTAGCTAGTAAATACGGCGAGTAGGGGTAGCAATCTGTTACAGGTCAAATAGCGATTCCACCTAATAACTGTGGCGTATTATGTATACCCTGCCCCTAGTGCGTAGAATATCCGCTGGCTTTACAATGACGTATAGTAGACTACGCGAGCGTATGATTCTATATAGAGGGTCGTGGGTTTTCCTGACTATAAATTAGTGCTTTGTTGGTAGAAAGGAAAAGAAAGAATCAGCCTTCTGTCTGCATAGGACCTACTGCCCGCCTATCTGCCTACGTATCCTTAGCAGCTGGTTGACAGGTCCTCTACCCTGACTAGTAGATATTCTTTGATATAATAAGTATACGTCACTCAATTCCTTCAAGGAACCAAGCGGGAACAGGCAAAAAAAAAAAAAAAAAGGAAAGGAGCGTCAGCGACATGATTCGACATCACGTGACTACCGACACTGGTACAGCTCCGTAGTCAGAGCTTCCGAGGTACTAGTCGGAGATAGTATGGGCCCCAGTTTACACTTCCTAAAGTGAGGGTGCGGCAAAAAGAATAAGAAGCGTCAGCGACAGGATTCGAACCTGTGCCCACGAATGGAATTGATACCGAATGTGAGAGAAATTCGAGTCAATCGCCTTAACCACTCGGCCACACTGACTTTGGTTATGTATCATAAAAAAAACCTGTATATCACATGACAATACTGTCCAAGGTCAGGACCCAGTATTTGGATTAAAATCCGGAATTTACTATTTTTTCGTAGGCCGACAACCTGTGCGGCCAACCTTAGTGTGAATATGGTTATCTATACAAAAGGTTAAGAAACTCGCTTTGTAAATAATACATGGCAGTGTGGCAGAGTAGTGAAGGCGATTGACTTGAATTTCAAATTCGTTATCACTTCCATTCTAAGCACAGGAATCCTGTCGCTGCCGACATTTTTCGTCTCCTCGCCGAGGCACTTGGGGCAAGGTAAAGTACTATATTTATTGGTCCACTGGTCGGTAAAAGATCCTTAGCGATAGTTTCAAGTCTATCCTATACCCTATACGAGTCACCTATTGAAACTATGTGGAATTGGATCGAGGATTATATTCAGGCAAAGTACGGTTCTATAGATTTTATTAGCTCAAGCGCTCACTCAAGATATTGGAGGCGTGACATATGGTTTTTGAATGGTGGCTTTCGACTTCTGATGATGTAGATGCCTTACCAAGTTTGAGGCAGTCATTCTGGCAAAACCGGGGGCCCTACTGAATGCTAGATATACCATGCCTTTTAGTTTATTTTTCCGTGGATGATTTCTATATAGTTGAATAGCTTTATATTCATTGACTTTATTTAAGCCGGCATAAAACTAGGTGATGAACTGACTAAGTAAACCACTGCACAGGGCTCGGCATGGTATAGTGTAGATGAGACGAGAGCGGTCGAGGCGATCTATCTCAACTACCTATGTGACGGCTATCAATCCCCCATCCATCTGGTGTAAATGATAGGGAGCTCTAGCTCCGGATGGCCCTAGTGCAAGTAATCATCATTTACATGAGTTGAGATGACGATAGTAATCTATATGGCCCTACATCAAATTTATTGGGGCTTCCTAATTTTTACGGCAAAATGAGCACAACCGTGCTATCACCACTCAAGATTCTCTTGCAACCGTATGATCAGCCTTCCTTGAGTAGGTCACATGGGATGCAGCTTAACTTGATCAAGCCGGGGGGAGGGGGTCGAGTGATTCTATAGAAAAGAAGCTCTGTAGGAATAAATGGACCAGGTTATCCATACTGTGATACTGGATCATGTATCACTAGACTTGAGCTTTAGATCATGGAATGTAGCCGCCATACCATACTATAAGAGGTCTGAGAAGCATTTAGTAGCGAAAAATAGTTTATATAAGAAAGTATGGCAGTAGGAATAGCGTGTGATAAACTGCTAGCTACTGCTATAACTTCGCAGTCGCAGCCGAATTACGTGAAGGAATGCCAGTCAAGGCAAAGGAAACAGATGAGAACCTGTACTGGGAAAGATGACCGTAGCAGTAGTGGTACAACTTGTCAATTCGTCAAAATCCTATGACGGTCTATATGCCTGTACAGAATAACTGTCCGCAAACCGAAACTTGGGCGAAGCAGCAATCCGGGTAATCAGCCGCCCTCCATCTTCCTCTTTCACCCGTCAAATCGACATTCTCAGATTAACAGAGATTAATTTAGTGCTTGTTGTTCTTCAGGTTGGGGTTGCGGGGGTCGTTCTTGAACTCTCCGGCTGCAGAAGGGAACCGAGGTTAGTTATGATTGAGATATTGCGGGACTTGCTCGCATTGACGGGAAAAGCTAGCCTCTATAGAGGTAGGACATCTCGTAAATTCGAAGAACGGGGCGACTCACTGTTCATGAGGGCATTGCCGAGGGAGTTGATGCCGTAGAGGATGACAGCGCCTAGAAAAAGAGTCCCGTCAGTATCCGAGATCTGGTACCCTGTGTACTCGTCCAAACACATATCCCATAGTCGATATCAAATAGAATAGACGTATTCGAAGAGGAAACTCAAGAACGGCGATGCATACCGGCAGCGAAGAAGGGGCCCAGAGGCTTGGCTGTAACGAGGTAGGTCAGTCAGCTTCCGACCTGGTTTAATCCAACATAACTCTCCGGCCGATGCAGTGTCTTACCGATGGGGGTGGGGAACTTCTTTCCGAGGAGAGACATGGTGACAAGTCGTGTATTGTACGGGAATGTCCTAAGAGGGCAGAGGTGAGAGGTGAGTTGATGTAGGCGGAATACGGTGCAACGAGGAGGAGCGGGAACAACGAGTTTTGCCCGGAGGTCCGACTCCCGGCCGCTTTTACCATAGCCGCACGAACCTATCGCCGCTTTTATCACTCCATTAGCCCCTCCGCCTGTAAACAAATGCAGCAGTTATCATAAACTCCAACTTCATACTTTCTACGTATATTCAGACACGCTTCTACAATATTGCCCCCTCATATCATCATGGCGGCATCACTGAATGCTTCAGTCACGTCTCTCCAATCCTCTCTACAACTTCTCGACTCATCTATCTCCACTCTTGAGTCTGGCGTTAGTGACTTTCCCCGACTGTGTAAGGTCTTGCAAACAACCCGAGTAAGTGCCGGCAACATACCTTTCGGAACCCGGTCAACGTACTGATAACAGTTCAATCACAGCACTTTGAACTTCTCCCCGAGCCTACGCTCCGCGAAGCACAACAATCACTACTCGATGAGATCACTCCCAGCATCGGACACTTGCTATCATTAGCGTCAAACCACGTTGAAAAACTCTCTCGTCGCGAACAAGCTCTCCGAGCAAAAGCTGAGCTGCAGGAAGGCAGAATGTACTCCAGCGAGAGTCGCCAAACCTCAAGCCGTAGCCAGAATGCCTATGGTGATCGACAAAAGGCGAATGCTGCAAAAGCGGCAGAGTTCAGGCGGTTGGTACAGAAGAAGGAACGGCTGAAGTACGCCGTTGAGAGACTGGAGTTGCAGAGTAAACAGCGCGAACGTCAGTTGAGAAAGAGCATGGCTGCCCAATAAGTCTGCACCGACGGAGTGAAAACTATAGCAACAGTGCAAAATGGTTGCAACTACGTCATCCCTGTTATTCAAAACACCTGCCATTATATACGGTGAAACTACCAGAGCTCGACAACTCGGCCCCAAAGGAAGGAGGTCGCCATCATCTCCAAGCAGCGCTGAGACCGTATCTTTAAAATATGTCTACTCTTTGCATCAGTACCCACGGTGCATAGTGCTCGACATATGCGCTACGAATGCATAAAGCCGAGGATTGGCGATGCGAAAGTAGGCTTTAAGCCTACCATCATCCGCCAACAATTGCCATATCCCTCATGCTAGGATTTGGCGGGAACCTTCAGGCCATTTTTGTCTTCCCATGGATCATCCGATTGCGATTGTCTCGGCACAGTCCATGGATTATATAAGGAGCTGCTGAAGTTGTATGTGAGAGGAATATTGGTCACATTGAAATTGAGTGAAGAGCTCAATAAGCCATACAGTTGTGGTCTAATTACATATATCCGTTATTTATGATACATTTATAATACATTTTTCAGAAATTGAAGCCCAGGTGCCTGTACCGAGATATGAACCGTCCATGCGCCGTAGTCCTATGCCTTATGTTTCCCGCCAGCCGATGAATTGTGCCAAACGAAGCTTTCAAACCAAAAAGTTATCCTGTGCTACTTTCGCAGCAGCATGCTTCTTCGATGCCTGTCTCACCTTCTTCTTGTCCGCATGCTTCTTCCAGCTAGGGATTGTTTGACCCTTCTTTCTCTGCGGAATTGGCACCTCAGGCCAATCAGAACCCTCAGACTGCTGCTCAAGTTCACCTTCCTCGGCTAATTCGGCCCTGAGGGCTGCCCGCCTAGCCAAACGTTCTTTCTTGCCTTCGCCGTGCTTATCACCGAGTCTCAGGCCTCTAGGGATGCGTGTCTTTGCACCAAGAGCCCACAGATCCCCCCAGTTTGACTTGCGAGCATCTTTATATGCCCGACGGCTATAGGAGCGGGGAACAGTCCAGCGCTCAATCTTTCCAGCAGGCGTACAGAAATCAAAGATGACATGTCCGCGGCGTTTCATTGGGGGATACACAATACGAGGAAGAGACAAGGTGTGGAAGTTCTCGGGCTTCACCTGCTCGCTTGCCTCAGTCTGAGAACCAGTAGCTTCGTCTGATGCTTCCGGCTCTTCTACAGCTGTTTCGTGTAGATCTTCATAGCCAGCAAAGGCCGCCTCGGTAGCTTCTGGGCCTTGTACAATACCTTTCGTCTCACGCAAGTCCACGCCACGTTGTACAGCGATATAACTGAACTTCACATCTTCGTGGTTCCGATCCTTGGCTCCCAAGATACGCTGGAGGAATGATGGTCTGATATATCTTTGCTGGAAATGGCAATAATCTTTGCGTCCCTTGGAATGACCTGGGGTGTTGAACATGGGGCATTTCTCATGGTTAGTGCAGGGCGCAACGATCATTCCAGGTTCTTTCTCAATATGTGAATCCTCAATTGGCGACTCCGTGAAGTTGGTATATTCTGTAGAGCCAGGGCTTGATACGAGACGCTTAAGAATCATCTCACGGGCTGCGGCAATTGCTTCGAATCCTTTCTGGTGTCCCTTCTCGAGAAGGATCAGAACACCGCCCTCAGGGTTGAGGAGATTCCACAGGTTCTCCACGTGCTCTTTGCGTAGGAATTCCTCCTCTATACCGAGCAAGCTATGGGGAGCCACGATAATATCGTACTGTTTTCGCTTTGGAGGAGCTCTCTCATCATCTAGAGTAGGTTTCTCGCGGATGTGAACATAGTCAGGCAAGCGTGGTAGGAACGAGGTGTTCTCCAACATTAAACTAGCACGCATTCGAAGGGCATCCGAACCAGTGACGACAGTCGATCTACCCACAGGATACGGACTTGCCTTGGGATGGTCTGGGACCATAGACTCCCACTCTGCACGAACGACATCTCGCCATGCAAGAACACCGGCACCACCAGCACTGGCATCAAGGATATGCGGGCCATCTTCTTTCGAGATGAGCCCACGCAACCACTCCGTGCCCAAGCGCTTTCGGACCTCGACCAGGGTGCTCAGTATAGATGTATACATTCCAGGGTACAGGGCCGCAATGTATGCATTCGCCTCCATTTCTGTCATGTGCCGCTGGGAAGCGTCTAGCGGGATAGGAAGCTGAGGCATCTGTGCGCGTGGTGGGGGGGTGGTAGTAGAATAAGGCAGGCGCGTACCACCAAAGGTGCGATGGGCAACATCCGCAATATGCTTATTGGAGTAGTCGGACAGAATGATGGAAATAGGTCCAGTTACTGTATCCTTGGGCAGGAAAACAGTACTGGGATCAGTAGAGAACTTCCCTTCCACAGTCAGAGGATGCAGTCGAGGCGTGTCGTCGGGGTTTGCTTCTTCTTCGAACTGCTCCAGCATGATTTCTCCGCCGAGCTGTTCCGCCACTTCCCTTGTCCGTTGCATGGCGATAGATTCATCCTCGACCGGGCCGGCCTCCATATCATAAACCATAGGTGGTTCATCCTCTGACTCAGCCTGCTCAAAATCGACTGCTTCCCATCCTCCCTGGCCATCTTCACGGTATAAAACATCGGGGTCCTTCTCATCTTCCTCCACTTCAAGCTCCAACTCCTCCTGGCGAATGATCGGCTCGCCATACAGCCGGGTGTATAACTGCAACTCAGTGTCGTTTAGAAATCCATCGGGCAGAGTGTCCCCAAACACCTGTCTCGCCTCCTGTACGCGCGCTTCTAAAGTCTCCTGGTCCCGATGGCCGATCGTCTCGCTAAATGCATGATCAAGTTCCGGACCATCAAGGTTAAGAGCTTCCCAGTAGTCGTCCAACAGGCTCAGCTCATCCATAAGCTCAGCCATTTCCATCTCATTCTGTTCAATCTTGTCGATCACGTTGTAGACAGCGTCCTTCCGATCCGTATTGACATTGCCATCTGCGGGGGGCACCGTCGATGCATATCGCCGTCCATTTTTGAAACCGCCGATTGAGTATCCAGTAGCAGTCTTTCGAGGGAATCCGACCGGTGAATTAAGGGACAACTCGTATCGCGCGTTTGTGTATTTGTACCGCTGCGCTATGAAACTGGTAGCTCCGCCGCGGAGCTGTTGCGAACTGATTTGCGACGACTTCGATGCAATGGTGCGCAGAAGGCCGTGGGAGCAAGACCGGCTCGCCCTTGATGCTGGGTATCTTGATAGCATCATCAACCCTTCTTACCACCCAGAAAGCGATGATTAGCGACCTGAGTCTGGGGATGGAGGGAAAACGCCACTCGTGAGAGCTCTGTTTATGAAAATCTTTGCCAAGAAATGCGGCCATCAGAAATTCCGCTCTTCCTATTGGCGGGTGGAAGGTGGTGGTCCAATTATGTAATTTTTATAGTATGTGCATTATCTCCAGGGCATGAAATTAAATATATAGTACTTAATGATATGTCAATGTATTTGAATGATATAGAACAGTATGTACAATTTAGAGCCTTTTAAAACTATTCCTCGCTATCGGTATCTTCGTTGCCCATGAGCACTTTCAGTGCAGAAATCCATTTCATCACTTCGTGTTGCAGAGCAGTCAACTTCGCCATGACTGCCATCAGGCTCGGGTCCTGACTCTCCACGCGAATCTTTTCCCTTACTTTGACCTCGTCCCCCTTCCATGTAAAAACATCTCCGGCCTCATCATGCGCACGGTGTCGAGTTCCAAACAAACGGTCTCGCAAATTGAACCCGGTCAAAGAAATGTCGGTGGCAAAAGCTGTTGGAGTATGTGTGGGTGTGCTAGACTCGAGCGTCCTCAGGTACAAGACGAGGGCAGAATCGGCGATGGATAGATGGAACGAAAGGTTTGGCGGCAACGGTGGGTCAAACATCTTCGCAGCTATAAATTAGTCACCAATAAAGACGACCAAAGAACGACGCGCCGAACATACATCCTCAAGCGCACTTGTCTCCCACCACTTGCCCCTGATTTGATCACTCTCGCCCTTCAACATCTGCCGAGCCTCGGACAGAGTTTCATATAGTAAACGCAGCTGTCCATATATAAAACTTGCATTGAGCGGGTCGCCAGTCCAAGTGCTGACATCAACCACATCGAGACTCTGGTTGACCAAGTTCCTCACCGAAACTAACTGATGTAGCACAAGCTCTGGAGCATCGGGCGAGTTCGACAAACATAAGCGAGTCGTTGGGGAGCCACGCGCAGGAGCAAGGGAACCAAGGCGTAGTTGAATATCCTAGCGCACGACGATACCTGATCAGTCTAATTGGTTCGTCCGAGAAATAGGAGAATGCAAGCGCGAATAACATACGCCTTTCACGATTTCCGTTCCAACCCTTGTTATGAAGCCTTTCACGATCTCGGATCGTACAGAGGATACAACCAATGTTGAGCCTGGTTCTTTAGGGGCAAGAAGCGCAGCGCATTCATGCAGGCCTTCCCTTAGGGAGGCGAGTGAGTCTTGCAGGGAACGCAGTAACCATTCTAATTCCCTGGCCTGTATTTGTGTCAAAAGTCAACAACAGAGGTATATCATACATGCGATGCTTTAACTCTTGAAATGGCCAAAAGAAACTCGTAGACATCGGGGGAGAGGTATACCAATGCACTATCAGCCTCCCGTTCCAGCTGCTGCGGAGGTAGCGGCGGGTATACCCAAGTAGCCATTCCGGCGAACCCGGTCCACTAGATCAGGATTTGTGCCGTTTAGTTTAGGTATCAAATTTTTGCTACTATCCCAGGATTAAGAAAAAGGTAGAAATATGCCGGAGACGACTGTTCAGTCAAATGGTTGCTATTGCGCTATTGCTTCAGCTCTTGTGACGTTTGTAGGTGGACGGAAACGTACTAGCGTAGATCTAATCTAACTATCACCTGTGTGGTTACGTAATACAGATATGCATTGGAGCTTAACCTGCATGTATGCACTCAAATCCATAGGTCTATCTGGTATTATGCCAGATCTTTTGTATGTCAGAAAAAGGCTTGGTAGGGGGTACTAAGGCAAACCCTTTTACTGACTTCCCTCTTAAACAAAGCCGTGTCTGACAGTTATATCAACTATAGCCTACCCATACCCAGTCATTTAGCATCATCTCCCACACATGTATATACAACTTATTTTTTGCCTTGTGCTTTGCAGGTCTCCTTTCATTGCGGGCGCCGTCCAGCAAAGGTTTATAAATAATTTAATACTAATTGTTCATGCGTTACCTAGAACATCTAATAGCGAACAAGACTTTAGGCGCCGAGTATTGATGGACTACTGTTTGTTTCGAAGCTATCCAGGCAGTTCCTCCGCAGCCAATCAGCTGATACTGTCGAGTCGGTCCTGGAGCAAATAAAGTAAGAGAGAAAGAAAACTACTATTTCTTATTTGCACGGCCATTAAATATGAATCTAGTGACGACTTGATAGACATCAGAACTCATTCGCATGGCTGATCAATGGGAATCTTTCCCGTGTTCGTCAACTCGAAAAGCATAAATATATATGCCATCCACTCGTCGGACATGAATGAAAAGCAAGCCATCTACATCTCATACAAAACTGTATGAAAACGCGAACCGTACAAAAGGTTGGTAATGGGTTCTCCCCTGACAGGCGCGACTACTAATATTAATATGGCTAATGTAGAGATAGAGATATTACCGCAATGTATAAGAATATCGTAGTGAAACAAGTTGTATTTAACCTTCTATCGACATGGCTTATCAACTTTAGGTGTCAATATCCGGTCCGGGGACCTCCGAGCGTGCTCATTGGGGATTGGTTATCCATAAGCCACCAAGACGAGCCGGAGACCTCCTACATGTTAGAGTCATCGATGATGATACCAACCTGTTTGCATTCGAAAATCGCTCCGGGCATGTCATAGATGATCAAAGCGCATGGGGCCTGGCCAAGATAGCAATGCTGGATGATGTGCAGCGCGTTTTAGCACTTTCAATGTGAAACGAGCAATGACTCAAGAGCTTTTCTATCTTCTGCCGTGCCCAGTCATCTTTCTGGACTGAATGTGTGTGAATCCGGAAAATGCTGAGGATCCATATGAAGTATATCGATTGACTCATTGGTGTCTGTCAAAGTAGTTATTGCCACAATACGGGCACCATACTGCACTTATACCTGGAGGTATAATGTGTCATTTGTAGTTCAATGCTTCGAAAGGCGCGACTCGTGGCTGGTAAGTGAGTATGCTAAAGGAGAGCCGAAGGCCTTCTGGTATTACTTTGCGCTTCGTGGAATCAGCAAATAGAATATTTGTCAAAGCAATGTACTAACAAAAGAAGAAAGAGAGGCGGAGCCCTATATTTATACGATTAGTGGCAGAGTCTCGAGCTCGGATAGATTAGGAACATTATTTGGCTGTGGCATCACATGCCTGAGCTCTTCATGAAGCCTGAAGAAAACTTCTTTGTTATTCAATAAAACATGGTCACACTTAGGGTCCAACTTGTTGTTTCAGTTCTTGCTGCAAGAAGGATATGAACATACTGTTACAGTCGGCTATCGTTAGGTCTTGAATCCAAACTATAAGAAGGTCTATGGTCCAACACGCAAAACTGCCCGACATACTTAAATTTAGATGTTTCGAAAATAGGGTTTCTTTTTCTTTTCTTTTTTTCCCCCCCTTAGAACCAAGATAGAATAGACTAAAACAAGAAATATTAAGCTAAAGCCTTTTACTCCTCCCCTTTCCGCACTAATGACTCCTGCTGGTTTCAGCAACTTGGAGTTGGAGCCGGTTCTCTTCTGACGCTAATTTAAATACCGGATAGCCATTGTCTCGAGTACCACTGGGAGCTCGATGATTATACTATAAGTCTTGAGATTGTGAGTGGTGAAAGACAACTTACCGGTATATGTCCTCCCAAAGGGGAGATATTCGCTTGGTCAACGAGGTAACTCCCTATACAGGAACCGGAAAATGGAATGAAATTTATGTCCCAGTAGTAGATAGCTGGATAGAAACCCACCGGCTGTCTAGACATATTCTCGGTCACGGAGAATATCCCCACCTTCAAATAGTGCTCCAACAGAGATCGGATGATCCTTTTTAGTAATACGATTTCTTCCTGTTCGGGTCCAGGAATCAAGGTTCTCCACTTAGCTCGTGCGCCGGGCGTTGAAGCGTTTTGGTGTTCCTTCATTGGAAGGTCAACAGTCACGACAAGTCATCATGACTACTCCGTCATAACCTCAATTAACAAGAAGGTCGCACGCACCTGGCGGTAGACGGGAGATTTCACAACGCACGACATCATGATGAGCAATTGAAACAGGTTCCTTGATGATCTGATAGAGATCTAGCACCTTATTTAAATAAAGACAGAGTGGATGAGTGGATAAAGGACGAGGATGTGGTGCTCTATTATGTCACCAAGAAGGTTGGGAGTAAGTATATATAAACCGTTTAATTAGTAGACTAAAACGGTCATAACAGTGCGATGCCCGGTGACCATCACTCAGAGAGCATAGAGAGGTGGATGGTGATAAAAATAGTACATTAGCGCTGATAGCTGGCTCGCGGAGTGGTTCATCAACTCACCCTCGATGTGCTAGTGACCACTGGGGTGGATATGTCTTTGATAAGGTCTTTGGTCAGAAGAAGTCCTCCATGCTTAAACTAGCCAATCGCAAATGGTATAATCATAGTAGGTGAAAGAGAGGCAATATCATGCTATTTATCGATGACTGACATAGCTCGCCTGTTGGGCTAAGCCTCATTACTTTTAGTTATCGTACTCAGCCTGTGCTATAGCACGCTCACCGGTAGAGCAGTAAGACCTTCAAACCGCAAATAACTCCTGACCACTTTGATAACTATGGCTTGAGTACAGATGACTGGACGGAAAACCCTGTTCTCCACACCCTCTGGTCGTATGTACTAATTATGATAAAGTCACGATTTATAGAAGACAAGAAATGGCATTTGAAGGACCGTACTTGACAGGATGAACATTTCGAAGGTATTGGGATATGCCGCGGGCCTATGGATCCCTTAAGCTTTTATTGATAATGGCTTCAAATTATTTTCAGCTGTTTTGAAAGCGTTAGAAAATAAATGGCGCGGTAAGCTATGCTACAAGGACAGTTCTGCGTGCGTTCATTTATACGTGAACAAGATAAAAAGTAACCCAAGTTCTACTTATGTTTGAAATGGCAGCTCGGATGTAGAGAGATTTGTGTGACATATGTGTAGGGTATCTTTAAATGTTTTTGCCGAGGCGTGCGCGTCTGTTAAGGAAATGGTATAGCTTGGTTCCGATGCTGCGGGCGATATTAGGTGATTTTCTCCTGAAAGCTAGTACATCCTAAGTGGATTGGTAAAAACTTGGATGATTATAGCAAGCAGGAGTCACGCTGTGGTAATGGAGAAAGGAGTATCGGAATTTTCTATTTACCCTTCTTGGAAGACTTTTGATTCTCTTTTCAGTTGCAAAGAGAAGGAATACCTTTCTTGGGACTTCTATGGACGAACATGCTGGGCACTACCAAGTTTACCCAACAGCGGACCGGGTACAAGTGTTCAGCCACAAAAGGTCTGGATTGAAGTTAATTTAAGCGCTAGGGACAGTAAAAGACAGGGATGGACCCTTGACGAATATTCTCGGTCTCTGTTTAAGTCAAACGTGAGGGCCTCTCAGCCCGACGTTGGCCATCGATATATGATATTATGCAAATCATTCACGAATATCTGGAAGTCCTTTGAAGCTTCTGCAAAAACTGTCACACTCCACACGTTTTAGATCTGCGTGTACATATCGCCCCCGTTTTTTTGGAAGTTAGACAGTACCGGAGTATTCATGGAAGGGTGTATGCGTGTACAAAGATTCTGCTTAACTGCACTGCAGCTAGTGGCGAATATACCCAAGTAGCTGATTGGGTTCATGGGAATACAATCGGGTTCGTTATCCTCAAAACTTGGGTACTGTGATATACCTAGTGGGCCAAAGAGGCACCGTATAGAGGCAGTGACCAATATTCTACCTCGCCCTAAGCAGGCGTAGCCACTTGACCGGTTCGATAGGCAGAAGGGAGAAGAAATTGCAGCATTGACTTTTGAGACCCACCTGAACCAGCGATCATCTTGAAAAAAATTGCAGCCTAATGGTAAACACAGACAAGGTTCTCAGTTCAGGTGCAACGTCAGTTCACAAAATGTAGTTCGACAACGTCATGGACGTCAAGTTTAAGTTGCCTGAACGGGGTTGGCGTGGAGTAAAAGTTGGGGCTAGCCGAGGATAGTTAGCGGGGCACACTGCAACGATGACGTTGAGATCGAGTCGCATGAGTGCAACTGTCGCCTGTCAACGCCTATGATGCACTCTCATTATTATATCACTACTCTTGCCCGTGAACATGGGTCGCCGGGACTGCCGGAATTTCACTTTAATACCTAAAGCCCTAGCTGTGTTCTTCCACTTTCATCGTCTTCGACTCTTATTCCTTCCTTTTCGCCCTCAACTCTTCCCATTGTATACCCAAACTGGCCAGTTGAGCATTTAGAGTTGACCATTTTGATCGACACTTGCGTGGTTATACATAACTTCTTAAAATCCTGAGCCGGGTAGAAGGCCAACTGCTTCAATCATGGCTTTCAGCAGTATGTTCTCACCCTACGGTCTCTCGAGGCGCAAAACCACTGACTTGGACCCGTGTAGGAGTAATGCTGGGCTTCCTAGGCCTATTCTTCACGGCTGGAGCTCTGCTATTAATGTTCCTGACCCTGCTCGGAGGAGCACGGAATTCGAACCCCTTAAATGAAATCTACTTCCTCCAAGTCAACACAGGCAACATACCAGGTGCACCATCTGTGTCCCGGTGGACATTCTGGAACATCTGTGCCGTTGGCCCCAATGGAAAGAGCGATTGCGGAAGTTCCTGGCCCGACTTCCCCTTCGATCCCCCGAGCCACCGCAACTTCGACACAACAACCAATATTCCTGCAGCCTTCATCGGGTAAGCACGATATTTGATCAGACCGAATCGCGACGAATTGAGTTCCTAACTAACCCTCCCCAGCACAAACCACTACTTCCTGACCTCCCGGTTCACATTCCCATTCCTCATCATCGCCCTTTTCTTCGGCGTTGTATCTCTCTTCACTGGATTCCTGGCCATGTGCACCCGTATCGGCAGCTACATCTCTTCCCTGATGGCATGGATTTCGTTGGTTTTCCAAATCATCACCACTTGCCTGATGACGTAAGTTCGGCCATTGACTACATTAATTGTATATATTAGAAAAACCCGTACTAATACCTGTATTAGCGCCGTCTTTGTCCAGGGTCGCAACAAGTTTAACGCCAACGGCCAAACCGCGCGCCTGGGTGCTAAGTCATTCGGCTTCATGTGGACTGCTGTAGCCTGTCTCCTCATCGCCTGCATAATGTACTGCCTTGGCGGCTCCGTCGGCGGCAAAGAGTCTGGGTACAGCGGTCGCGAGCACCGTCGTCGTGGTTTCTTCTCCTCCCAACGGTCCAATAGCGTCCGGAGCAACAAGGAGGCCAACCCATAAGCCAGCTAGCCATATAATTCCCCTTTCTCTCCATCTATCTATGAAGGATAGATTCAAGTGAATGATCTATCTGAGATCGTGGGTGATGCGTGAGAGCTCAAGAGTAATAATAAGGTTGCATTTCCACACAACCTCCGGCTTCGTTCATTATAAGTTGGGTGGGATAGCGATGGACAAAATGTCCAGAACCGAACCCTGCTCACCGTAAAACATATCATGCTTCTCTTTCGCTGGGTTGTTATAGTATGGTGGCTTAATTTACAGTCCCATGATCGTTCTTTTTTTGGTTGCTCTATGGGTGATCAGATGATGTATGTGGTGCTTTATGATATCTGATACTCTTTGCTGTTATTATACGTACAAGGTATTAATTGTAATATAATTGATGTTTTGTCAACAACAACCAAGCTAACGAATCTACTTGTGGTTATGGATGTGTATTATTTTATCCGTAAGGAATCATATTTCTAGAGTCTAGGCCTCTCTATATACTTTTTAAATAACCATCATTGATACATTCATCATCGAACAGTCATTGCAAGACAGGACGCGTCCAAGATAGAAGGTCTTTCCTATCCAGAATCTCTTCTCATGAACCGATCACATCAAGACGAGGATATGACGCAGTAGAGATAGAAAGGAAGTGCATGATGTCTAATAAAAATTTGATGTTCTAATAAATCCATTGGGAAAGAGCAAAGCATTAACCGTGAGGTGCGTCTGAAGATAGGAGGAAAATAGGTTATATATTACCGACGAAAGACTTAAGCAGCCTGCACAGCACCGCGGACGGCGTTCTGGCCGCCGACTTCGCGAGCGGTAATCTGCAGACCCAGGTCGGCATTGACGTGGACCATCAGCTCGACCTTGCTGCCGGCCTTGACGCCCTTGACGGCAAGCTCGGCAATGGGCTTCTCAGTCTTCCAGACGATCTCGCGGATCTCCTCCTCATCCTCGTCAGAGTCGAAGTCGGAGTCGTCCTCGTCGTCCTCAGTCTTGGGCTTCTCCTCCTTGGGCTTAGGCTCAGGCTTGGTGACCTTGATCTCGCGGACACCCTCGCAGACGCGAATGAAAACGTCGCCACCGGCCTTGGGGGCGTTGTACTGAGCGACACGACGAGCGGGGAGGGCAGTCTCAGTGTTCAGGAGAGGCTGGAACTCGACGGTCTCACCAGAGGTGAACTCGACACCGATGGCGTTCTTCAGGTGAGGAGTGGCAGTGACCATGGGGTGGATAGACTGCTCAATGTCCTCCTGCTCGAACTCCTGGATAAGAGAGGCCTGGATGGCGGCACCCCTGGGGGCCAGCTCAGAGGGGTTGATGGCGCCAGTGAAGGTCGAAGGGGCAAGGATCTTAGTCTTCTCGGAGAAGATGTTGCGGGCAAGCTGGGCGATCTTAGGGGTGTGAGAGGAACCACCAGCGAAGATAACCTAAACCGCAGTTAGAACATATCTTCTTATGCTACCGTAGATCCTGAGAAATAACACAAGGGACTAACCTCGTCAATGTCCAAGACATCCAAGCCAGCCTTCTGGATAACCTGCTCAATCAAGCCGGTGAACTGGGCGAAGGTCTTGCCGGAGAGAAGTTCGTAGCGAGTACGGTTGACGGTGGAGCCGAAATCGATGCCATCTGCGAGACTCTCAATGCTCAAGCTGGCGTTGGTACCCAAGCTCAAGGTCTTGCGAGCACCCTCACCCTCGAGCTTCAACTTGGCGAGACCACGAGGGTTCTCGCGAGGATCGGTCTTGTGCTTCTTGATGAACTCCTTGGCGAAATGGTCGATGATGATCTTATCCAACGAAGCTCCACCCAGCTCGTAGTCATGAGCAGTTGCGAGGATAGTGTACATGCCACCACGGCAAGCAAGAACAGCAGCGTCAGATCGGGTACCACCGAGGTCGGCGACGACAACAAGCTTGTCAGTAACAGTAGCCTCGGGTCTGGCATCGTAAGCCAGGGCAGCGGCAACAGGCTCATGGATGAGCTGCAGGACCTCAAGGCCAGCAGCCTTAGCGGAGGCCGTCAAAGCCTCGCGCTGGGCATCGGAGAAGTCAGTAGGGACAGTGATAACAGCGGCATTGACCTCCTTGCCGAGATAGTCAGAGGCGGACTGCTTCAGACGACGAAGATGGCGGGTGGCAATCTCGGAGACGGTGACAGTGCTGGGGGTCTCGTTGGTAGAGTCCACAACGGAGAAAGCAACGGTAGATTCGTGAGGCTGAGGATGCGCCGAGTTATGGCATGGTGTAGCGTCTATCGACTTGAAGCTGTGGGGTATTCATGTCAGCGTGGTCTCACATGAAGTAGTATTTTACATCAGCAACACATACTCTTTGCCAAGGTAATCTCTGAAGTATGCGACAGTGTTCTTGGAGTTGCGGACCAGCTGGGCCTTGGCTTGAGTACCGTGGTACTCCTCACCATCAATGTATGAAAGGACGGAAGGAATTTGACGATCTGTGTATCCGTTAGTTTGTGCTTCAAGATGACCCGCCACTAAGCAGTAATGGAGAGAGAAAGATTAGACTAACCTCCTTCTTCGTTGGCGATAACTTCCGGCTTGCCCTCCTATATATTGATAACCATTAGTATTCATTTTTTTTTTTTTTTATCTTAACAAGAATTCGTAGCCTTGAGAGTAAATCCGAGGCCGCGAATCAGGCTCACATACAGGGTTGATGCGGGCAATGGAACTGGAGGTGTTGCCAAAAGAGATACCGATAGCGAAACGCTCCGGGGTACCGTTTGTTTCGTTGCTCATTGTGAATTATGTGTAGAGGGTTATAGAGGGAAGGAAAAGGGAAAGAAAGGGAATGGAGAAAATGGAGATAGAAAATGGGACACAATTCGGGCTCCGCCTCGGAATGGCTGATTCTCTTCCTTCGTTTTCTGCCAGACGAAGAAAAAATTTTTGGTCTGTTTGACAAGAAGGCGGGCAGATGTGGCTAGTGCTTATCGATAGTGCGGTGGCGGTGCGATCTAGACTTGGGCAATCCAGAATCGTATGTATTGTACATATCCATGGACAATAATTGTACAGGTCACATGGCCCAGCCCTTCATTGCATTTGAGAACATTGTAGCTCACAAGCACTGTTAATATAGATTTTAAAATGATATCCTTGAGCTACTTGTATATAGCCACTAGTACCGCTATCCCCCCCAAGCTCGCTGATATAATGGTGCAGAAACGACCTCTCACGTGGAGATAGCCGATAAGCAACGATTTGCGCTTTTCACAGCCAAGGGCGATCCTTCAAGTCTCCACCATCAGATCTCTTCAAAAGCAAAGACAAACCACCGCAACAAACCGGTCGGTGGACTTACTCCCTCAAAATGGCGTCGCCATTAATTCTCCTCCCGGGTGACGAAGTCCCCTCCGAATACCTACCATCCAGCAATTCCGCTCCCTTGAGACTCGGAGCAGGTCTTCGTCTCCTCTCGCAACCATCAGCGATTTCCCCAAGCCATGTCATATCCGCCACGCAACCCGGGCTCCTCTCAACAGACAACAAAAGAAATGCCGTCTCGATCCTCTCTACCCCGAACCGTCGCTACGTCCCAACACCCGGCGATCTAGTGATCGCGCAGATCCACCACTCCAGTCCGGATTATTTCCATTGCATGATTACGCCGCAAGCGCCCCAGGCGCTGCTGGGACAGCTTTCATTTGAGGGTGCGACGAAGAAGACGCGGCCGATGCTGAAACAGGGTGACCTGGTGTATGCTCGTGTGTTGTCGACTGGTCTGGGCGCTGGCGCGGAGGTGGAACTTACATGTGTCAATCCAGCCACAGGACGGGCTGATGGAGGATTAGGCCCATTGACTGGGGGTATGGTTTTTGATGTGTCGACAGGGTTGGCGGCTCGGTTGATAAAGGCGAGTTCCTCGTCGGGAGAGCAACAGGATGGTGTGGCAGGGTTAGTGGTCTTGGATGAACTGGGCAAGAAGTTGGAGAAGGCAGGTGGATTTGAGATTGCTGTGGGGAGGAATGGAAAGGTTTGGGTGGATTGTGCGAATGGAGGCGATTATGCTGTCAAGGCGACGGTCGCAATCGGGCGATGCCTGAGTACCATCGACGAGCATGAATTGAGCTCGACAGACCAGAGGAAGCTGGTGACCAGGATATTACGAGATATGAAGATAGAATCGTGATGTGTTGTTGTGTATTCCATATTATTATTATTATTTTCTTTTTTTTTTTTTACTGTATACATCTGTTGTTGGTTGATGGTGTCATTTCTCATGTATCTACTAGTAGTTTACCACACTGAGCGCAATCCAAAAGCATACCCAATGGAATGTTTTATATTAAGCAGGGAAAAGCAAAGAGGGAAGGCTTGACCGCTAAATTTCTAAAGCTTAGGCGCGGAAAAGACCGCAACAGTCTGCCTCAGCTTTAGTGTGTCCCTCGGCCGGAACTTTTTTTTTTTTCCTTCAATTTTTTTTTTTTCTAATTGACTCTGACTTGATAAACATTATTGTCCCTGGCAATTTCAACTACATTCCTACCTCCACCTACAAGCTCCTTCCACGAGACCCAGGCGATCCATTATTTTACCACCCTTCCTCCCACCTCATGGGTAACGGGTCCTCCAAAAAGGCCGAAGATGGCATCCGCGACCACACGCGTAAGTTTACCAGAGGATGCCAGCGCGAGAAGCTCAGACTTTTTGAATGATACCTGACAATGGGCCTCGATCATAGAAATAGACGGGTCAGACGTCACACCGAGTCGCCCGAAAACTTTGAAGGTCAAGGAAAAAGAAACACCGAAAGGGCAATCCGACGATGCAGCTACACCGAAACGGAAACGAAAATCCAGCAAACATAGCACATCCGCTGTCGCGCCGTCATCGTTCCCCGCCGAAGAGGAAAGTAGGCCTTCGAAGCGCAAAAAGCTCGCAGACGCGCCTACGGATACCACTGAGGATGACCGCAATACAGAAAAAGCATCTACCACCGCAAATGATACTTCGCCAGTCAAAGCTCAAGTCAATGGTAGCCCTTCAATCGAGGGTTCGAATGACGCCAGCATACAGCGGGAGACTGTTAAAAAAGGAAAGAGAAAGCAGAGCGGAAAAGGGCTTACAGGCTTCTTCTCGCAAGACGAAGTTCAGGCGCTGGAGAGTTTCAAAGTGGAGTTCTGTAACTCGCATGGTCTTCCAGGGCATGCGTTTGACGCGATGGTCCAACATTCCGAACGAGAGAAGGGCATTGAATTCCCTTGTGATTCGTCTATCACCATGAAGCCCGAATTCTGGAAGACAATTTACAAGATTCTTCCTGACCGGGATAGGAGATCAGTGTACCGCTTTATGAGGCGCCACTTCCAGAACTCTGACGTGAAGCCTCACCATTGGACTCATGAACAAGATGAGGAACTAATTCAGCTCGTTGCACGGTATGGCTTCAAATTCGCCCAGATAGCTAAAGAGTTAGGCCGGAGTGACGACGATGTTGTCCAGAGATGGAAGAATCGCTTAGAGCATAGGACTACGATGAACCGAGGCCCATGGTCAGAGCAGGAAATTCGCGGCCTGCAAAACGCCTTGCAAGCTGTATGGAAAAATTTGAAGGAAAGGGGCCATGACGTGGGCCGCGATATCTATGAGATGGACGAGACGCTCATATCCTGGGGACATATCAGCAATAAAATCAGAAATTGTCGTTCCAGACAGCAATGCGCAGATAAATGGCGCAAGGCTAGGAAAAAGGTTCAGCAACTGCGTGACAAAGGGAACCCGGATGCTGTTTTTGACCCCATCAAAGAGTCAAAGAAGAACAGACACAAGTCGCGGACGTCCTCTCCTTCGTCCTCGCAAACTCCGCAACCCCTCCATAAAAGCGCTGAATACGTCCATTCAGACGATTCAGATGAAGGTGAAGCCGCGCACCAGGATGAAAAGAAAGGGAAGTCAGACAAAACGTCTACAAAGGATTCCAGTTCTAGCGACAAATCCTCATCTCCCGCATCCGAATCAGAATCAACGGACGAGTCAAGCTCTGGTAATACAACTAAAGATGTGAAATCTAAGGCAAAGCGCAACGAACGCCCCAAGGTCAAAGACCAGTTACAAGCTACAGAGAGCATGGAAAACACAAAGACTACCCCTCAAAAGAGAAAGAAGTCTGCATCATCATCCTCCGCATCAGATTCTGAAGATAGCGACTCGAGTACAGGCTCTGATGTACCCGCACATCCACAGACATTGACGAACGGCAAATCAAAGACTTCGCCAGTAGGCCCAAAGAACAAGGACAAGAACGAAAAGAGTTCAACTGAAGATGACTCGAGCGATTCATCCGATGATGGAAATAGTGAAAGTGATGGAGAATCTGATGAGAGCGAAAGCGACGTGACCAGCTCCAGTGGCAACGAGAAAGGGAAGTTGCCGAAGAAGGCTTCAAAAAACATCAAGCAACAGCCCGAGGAATCCTCGGCAGAGAAGTCCACATCGTCGGAAGATGAAAATGAAAGTGACGATTCCAAATCATCCGAATCAGAATCTATGTCACCCCCAGCGCCCAAATCTAGCAAGTCCAAGCAAAAGAGCACTAAAGAAGCAGGCGCCTTGAAACGACGCCGTGTAGCAGACCTTTCCTCAACTTCTACCTCGGCTCGTTCATCTGCTTCCCGAGATATCAAAATGGAGGTTACCAGCGACTAGCCATTGTCGGAGTTCATCGACAAAGGGTCAGAAGAACGAGAAATTACAGTATGAGGTGCATGCAAAAAAGATTGGCTGACGAATGATGAACAAACAAATGTTTGCACAAGTTTTATCTAAGCGTTGGTGAGATGGATCATAATGCTGTTGTTGGATGATGTTCTTGCTATTTATTTCCAAAAAGTTGTGTTTTCTTTCATTCATATACCCCATCATCCACATGTATAGTTCAGAACAAAGATTGACTTCGGACTCGAGAACGTATCTGTGATTTGTATAAGTGTAGACGCCCGTGCGAGTCGAGCAAGTCTCCGAGGCTTTCGATCGAAGCCTTGATACCTTCGGATAGAATTGAGCTACCGTCGATACAGGCTAGGGTCTCCTTCTATCTACTAAATACTACTACTCACGCATAGGTTTGGCGCTCAACCTCTGTTCGAGCATTCATTTACACCTCGAACGCTCCCAGTTGATATATCATACAATCCAGCAAAAATCATATATCTATTGAAATACGAGATATAACACATAATATAATGTAAACCTACAGCTCATCCTTCGTCCATTCCCCATCATCTTCATCCTCCTCATCGTCAGGCTGTGCCTCTTCACTCTGTTGCTGCTCAAGAGAAACCTTCTCCACCAACGCAGCAACCTCCTCATCATACTCAGTCCACTCGGGGACCTGGCGTCTAGCCCTATCGAGCTTAGGCTCCTTCGTCTGCGGGTTATTGCATAGATCAATCGTTCTCGCCTGACCCAAAGACTCATCGGAGCACCAGGTCTCGCACCACAGCCACTCCTGTGGCAGACTCTTGATCGGGATATGGTGTTGCATGTGATTCGGCAGGTCCTGGTCAAGATTACTCAAACTGTTGGGATCAGCAGACAGCATCTGGTATTGACCACGGAGACGGTCGCCGGCAGCCAGAGCACGGAATCGGCTCAGGTCGACCACGTAAAGGGCCGAAATGTGATAAGGCTGGCCGCGGAGGAAGTTCTTCCAGTATCCCTGTTTCCAGAAGCGGAAGCCTTCCATTTCATGGCGCGAATCGCACATGGGTGTGAAGCCGTAAGGAGCGCCTTCTAGGTCTAGGTTGACGAGGTCGTACATGTCTGTACGGACGACTTGGTCTGCGTCGACGAAGATGACCTTGTCCAAGGAAAGGGGGAAGAGAACATCTAGGAAAAGGATTTTGTAGCCCCAGATTTCGCGCTGCTTTTCGCGCTGGGCGCGGAGCCAATGTGGCCATTTGAAGGTGACCATTTCATAGGAGAAGCCGTATTCTTTGGCTAGATGGGGGAGGAAAGACTTGAAGGAGGGAGAGAGGAATTGTTCGATAAACCAGAATTTGACAGAATGTTTGGTATTCCGCATCACTGATACCATCATGATATTTAGCATTCGTTCGTATAGATGGCCGCTTGCCACTGAAAAGATGTTGATGTCCGCTTGCTTTTCGGTGGTGCTAAGCTTAGAGCCAGCGCCAACGCTCGACAGGATGCCGGAGGCAAAGTTGAGCCCCTTAGAGACGTAGTCCATGGCAGATCCGGGCTTAGGATTTGTGTCCAAAACATCTTCAGACTCATGGCCCTTCTTGCGCGACAAGCGAGGGAAAAGGGTCTTGCCTTGGAAGGAAAGGAGTGCTACTTCATTATTCTCGTCTCCGCGTTGCGGAGCGTAACCCATGCCACCAACACTGTCGAGCTTAAAGATACGCTCGCTGCGGCCTGGTTTCAGATTAATCTGCCACAGTCCGGGCTGAGCTTTAAATTGGAAGTAGCCTAAGTTGGCCATGATAATGGTGTCCGCAAAATACGGATTCTCCTGGGTACCAAGAGCTAACTGAACTCCCCTTGGCGGGGTCTTTGTAGTCATGTCCCGCGAGTGGCCTTCTATCAAGATGTGCTCCAATGCATAGATAGCATCAACATTAGATCCTGCCTTCAAGGTACTCAACTTGATGTTATCAAGATCATGAACGGAGTCCTTGGGAGCTACAAGCCAAGATGATGGGACATCCATGCCCAATGTAAGCAATGCCTCAACTGGCACACCCGAGAAAGAGGCGCCAGGTCTCAATACGGCACCATTACCGGCAAAAGAGGGTTCTGGATCCAAGACATAGCGGTAGAATCGCTTAATTGGAAGCTCCTGTATTTCTTCCCGTGCATTTAAGAAAAGTCTAAGCCTGACGCTTGCCAACTCTGAGAGTACCTTCAAGATTGGTAGCCATCTTTGGGCCACTTCAGACGTCGGGTCAATAGAAGCGACAATTGTGATCGCCGCGTCTTCAGAATTAGAGACGGTTACCACCGAGTGCGAATCGTTCCATTTGTCGAATAGGTTCATTCGGACGTCCGTAGTCGATTCGAAAATACCTTCTGGGACATCAGATATAGTCGACAGAGTAGCTAGAGAGGTGAGTTTAGCAAAAGCCAAAGGTCCAGAAAGCTTTGAGCCAATCTCGAGCTCCTTGACAGCCTTCGAAACAGGATCTATGCGCTTCGTGCGCTCATATGCCAAAAGCTGGTCAAAATCATCTGGCACCACTGTATAATCAGCCGGTATAGGCCCAGCTGCTCTACCATTGATTACAACACCGCTTGCTCCGGGAGCAAAGCCAA